ATTACTTCGGGTCCCTTTAGTGTAAACAAGTTGCTCTTGTTACTTAGTTTGATATTATTTACAACTAGAGCTAGGTACAACAATCAACAGTAACATATACTATTCTCAGAAAGTTGCAATCATTAGAAGACAATCTTCATCTATCCCCGTCGTCTAACAAAATTCTTTATTTTTATATATTTCATTAAAGGACATATATTGCGCAGTTGCTCCTCCCATAAACATTGTAGTAGCTCTGTTACAAAAACAATAATCCAATAAGCTATAAGAGATCAAAGTGGAGTAGGGAGAGACTCTCATAGTTATAAATTTAGAGTTATTAGGACTTTTAATCCTCTTCATCATGCCGCATATTAAGTGCAATGACTAATATATATAACTCACATGCAGATATTTTGTGTTATTTTGTATCCACATGGACCACATTTGTCATATGCAAATGTGGTGTTACTAATACTATCACTGGGTAAAACGTGTTGTTTCAAAGTTGGATCCAAGTTTCAGTTTAACTACGTGTTTGATAAGAGATAATTTCAAATCATAATATATATATTCGTGTTATCAAATGTTGATATAATTACAAATTAGAGTGGTATATATGTTATTCAAATATTAATCCTAAACCTGAAATGATCATGAACCCAAACCTGATAATCTAGAATTTACCACCCCTACCCAAAAAAAAAATAGCTATCTAAAAAAATATCATATAGTCCTCTTATCAGATAAAGTTGAAGAATTCTTCTTACCACAGTCAAGTCTCTTCGTTTGGTGACGACAAAAGTAAAATATTGCCAGAAGCCTAGAGAAAGTAGTACGTAGCTTAGCTAAATTGTACTACGTATATAATTAAATTTCTAGAGTTACGTTGTGTATACGATTCTCGCAAGTTTCGTCATGGTGCATGCGAACAAAAGTTAAATTGTCAATTGTTTTGTAGCTAAGAATTTAGAGTTTTTCAGCCGTAGAAAGTCGAATATATTTGGTATTTAACGACCAAAATTTTTTATCAACCAAATTTTTTATTATTATCTAAAAACTTAGGCCTTGAATGTTTGGTAGTTTTTGAAAGAGTTTTTAGTTTTTGTTTTTCAAAAACTTATTTAACACCAATCAAGTTTCTCAAAAAAAAAAAAAAAAAAAAAAAAGGTTTCTCAAATTTTGGTTTCTCTACCATTTAGAAAAACTTTTTTTGTTGTGATCTTCCATTCAAGATTTTAGATTTTTAGTTCTCCTATAATTTAGGGAATCTAGTTTTTACTCCCTCTACGTTATTTTTCTCAAAAACCAAAAACCATTTTTTGGATTTCTAAAACAAAAATCTATTTACAAAATCTAAAACTAAAATCTAAAATCCAAAAACTAAAAACAAAATCCAGAAACCAAATTCAAAAACAGCATCCATTCATGGCCTTAATGTATTTGAATTTTGATTAATTTCCTTAACTATAGAACGATATTATAATAATAACTCTGACGAATTCACCACAGACTCTTTGACAAAAAAAATCACCACAGACTCGAAAGAAGATAGAAATAGAATATTCTTTCTGTTCCATAATGATGCTTAAAAAGATTTTTTGTTTTACTTTATAAAATGTTTCATAAATTTTTATGCAGATTTTAATATTTTTAACTTTTTCAGTTTTGCAGTTTCTTTTGTAATTAGTTAAATTATATTTTTAAATAATTATTAAATGACTTTTTATTTTTTTAATTTTCGTATTTTTTTAATATAAAATATCTTATATTTGAGACAGAAAGAGTAACATGTTATTAATTTATGTAATCGGTTAATAATCATTCTCATATAGATGATTAAACTTATTTTTATCGATGTAAATATTCAAAGCATGCGAGAGTAAATTTGTTCTAGAAGAACTCGTTAACAAATATGTGAGTTCCCTTATTTTTAGGTGTCTAAATGTTTTTAGTATATTTTGTCGCGTGTTTGAAGTATGTATTATCCATGTATATATTCGACACAAAAAGAGTATATAATTTTTTAACAAAAAAAAAAATCGTTTGAAATACGTGAATCCTCTTATTTTTAAGTGTTTAAATATAATATTTATTTACGTTTTTTTAACAAATCTAGCTTAAAGGTATTAAGAGTGGTAATAGTTTATTTGGTTTCAAAAAAATGTAGGAGAGAAGTTTGAGTTCTTGTTCCCAAATTCGAATCTCTATTTTGAAAAATGGTTATATTATCAAAATTGGTGGTGAACCAAATAAATCATGGATCCAAGAAAACTCATAATCCTTTCGTAAAAAACAAATTAAGAGTGATGTCTATAAAAAAGATTTTACTAGTTTAATATACCGGATATGATGGTAAAATTGTCTAGTTGTCAGTCTTATCAATAATAATAAGATTGATGTAGGGATTTTTTTTTTCCTTTGAGAAATGTATGTTACGTCAATTTAAAACACCGTAAATTTTTCATCTCTACAGTCTACATTGTATAAAACTAAAAAGTAAATAGATAATGAACGTTGACAATGATGTTTAAGGCAACTGGGAACCACTTGCAGGCTACCACGTCCAAATCTTAGACCATCTGCATTGGGGGATCACCCCCCCTGATCTAAGTATTATTTAAATCCAAAAAAATGGGTTAATGGGCTTAAGATCAGGAACTGGGCTCTTGACCTGGATCTGTTCTTGTGGGTGTTGCGGGGTGACGTGGCATTTGGGCATTGGTTGGAATATTCAACATATTTGGAATAAATTTGGATAATAAACTATGTATTAATTAGATAAAATGTTTTTGTGCTTTTATTAAGTAATATGTTTGTTTGTTTATTGTTATTTATATTTTTAATGTTTTTTTCATAAATATTTAGTATTGTATTTTCACTTTTATTTTCAGTTTTTCATAAATTTGGCATTTGCAATTTATATGTTATTTTTAAATGTTTTAATAATTGTAAAATCTTAATTTAATTTAGATTATTATATTATTAAGTCTTAAGATCTTACACATGTTCTCCCACTAATCAACTTCTAAACAAAAGATCTAAACACATGATCTTACATTATTTTAACATTATATTCTCTATAAGAACACCCTCACATGATCCCCCATTGATGATGCCCTTACCCTTACTTAGTTACTTTTGGTGTTAAACCAACCAATGAAAATTCGTTTTGGTGATTCAACATGACAAAAAATGGGATTACACCTTATCCTTTCTTTTCTTTTTTTTTTTCTTTTTGAATTTCGAATTTTGTCAATGGAGTTGAAAAATCAAAGAGAAAAGACAAAGATTTCTGGCGGTCGAATCTTATGGTACCCCGTTTTCTACTTAGATGGGGACCTGACTAAAATTTAATCTACTACTATGATAGCGTTAAGTTCATAATGATTTAAAATATATAATTACGTTAGTATATTATTTTACCAAATTATTCTATGAATCTCATGATACTAATAACTAGGATTTAACCCGCAGTACACCGCGGGGCAAAATTATATTTTATGCATTTTATATAATAATTTATAATTTATTGGATTTTTAAATTGATATTAAAAAAAAATTCTCATTTAATTATTTTATATTATAATTAATATAGTTGAAATATGTGTACTTAGAAGATTTGTAGGTGTAGAAATGATATAGTGTTAATATTGGCAAGCATTTATAATCATGAACTATTATAATAATTTGATATTATTTTATATCAAAAAATTTACCCGCGGTATATTGCGGGTAAAAATTTTAAATTTGAAGTTATATTTGTTTTGTTAATATTGTTTGGTTTGTTTAGTATTTAAGATTATATAATTATATTTTTATTTTTAATTCTAGATTTCACCCTTGGTATACCGTCCTGTAATAATATCAACCCAAACCCGTCCCACCATATAACCCCGTTTTGTATTCAAAATTATTTTGGTTCTTTTTATAGTATGATTCTGAACCATTGCCAATTTTTTTAAGCAATGTGGGACATTGTACACATATTTTTTCTTCATCGATTGAGTAATATATGTCCGTTTAAAAAAATTTGAATCACATAATATGCAGAAAAAATCTATTATTTTAATAATTATATGTATATTATATAAATTCAAAATAAATAACTATAAGATCATATAAAAGTGAAAGAAGAATCATATATTAATGTTTAAATTTGGTAGAGATGTTTTAGGAAAATTTAGAAACAAAATCAATTTGTTACCATATTTGAAAGTCGTATTTTCTAAAAGATATTTTCGAAAATATTTTGTAATATTAATTAATAGATAAACATTTATGACAGTGGCATTCTCTTGTAAATAAGTGTCAACTCTAGGATTTATTTGCTAAGTGTACTCCAAAAATGTATATATAGATGGTTTAATTTAACAAATTTCTTAGTGATGTTTTGATTTTTTATTTTTTTGTAGTTTTTTTTTTAAATCTCAAAATATATATAACTTCGGTCAGACCGACTCACTCATGAAATTAGTCGGATGGATTTAAATTTGTCGTGGTATGACCATATTCTAATCATAGACCTCCATTTTTTATGCTGACCTAGATCCTCTAAAGACTAAAGTTATAACCAACTAACAACTTTATGAGGCAGAATTCAAAATGATATGATATTGAATTTGAATGTACATAACTTTTAAATTTTTGTTTTGTTTCTTTATTATAGATTTGAAATATATCAGTCGAATTCTAATCATCTAAATCTAATGCAAATTCATTAAACATTGTTTGGTTACATTTAGTCAATACACATACTTATCAATTTCACAAGTCCAATACATTTTTGTGCCGCAGGCCTAATGGGCTCTAGTCTGATGGTATGTTTTGGGCCGATCTGTTGGCTTCTGCATTAGATTATAAAAAAAAAAAAAACAGAAAGTCGATAAAAATCGTTGGCTTCGAAAAAGGTTATCTGCAATTGAAAAAATTGGAAATTTGAAAGTTAACTCTGAAAGATGACACACTTCTTCTTCCTCTGATTCCTCCGATCAGATCCAATGTCTGCCGATTTAAGCCGCAGTTCGCTCTCTCATCAGCTTCTTCGTCTTTCCGATTACGATTCCTCTCAGGTTTGTATTTCTCAAAATCAAGTTTGCTTCGTACTGTTTGTCGATGCATGGTTTGAAATCGATTTTTGATTCGGACAAATGATTGGAATTTTGCTTTCTTTGTCGTTTTCTCTCAACAGATTTGGTTTCGAATCAATTTTGAATCTGATATTCGTAATTGCATCTCTAGAATAACCTGGCTTATTTTGTTCTGTTGTCCATTGGATGATTCTAGATCACGTACGGCTTAAACGTCATTAACCGCTCTCCAATACTTTACAAGTGCATTTGGTGTCTTACTCTGTGGCCAGTTAAAGCTTGTTGTTGACCTTGATTCTCTCAATCTCTTAACCATGTGGATGTTTCTTCCTGCAGCAATCATGTTTTACTTGTCATATAGTGAGCTTCTCCTTCACTCTAATGTCGACACTTTTACAGTGTTTCATTCAGCTGTTACGTTTTCGTAGCTATTAGAGGAACCCTTTTCTTGAACCAGCCTTGGCCATCTCTTACCAGTTTACAGTCACAGCATATAGCTGGGCTATTGCGTATCTTGTGAGTATGTCTATTTGATCTTGTCTACATCAAGCACGTGGTTACGAAGATCGGGTTGAACCTCGAGGCTTATTCGTTTCAGTGAAACGACCTCATCGGTGATTCCCACTTGAGTTGCTAATAATGGGAGAGTTACAGAAACTAAGGCATGCCATGAGAAAAGTGATAAGCCTGATTGCTACAGTTTAACAGTGGTTTTGCCAGTGGGTTTGTCTTGCTTATTCGGTGTAGCCATCTCTTGCTTAAGATTCTTGGCATTGTTAACAAACTGTTAACATTTGTGATCAAGTTGGTTATATGGGACAAACATTCAACCTTCACTGGAACTTTAGGACTCTTAATCTGTGAAAGAAATCGTAAGTACAAGACGAGAAACAAAAGAAACTGCGAGGGAACGAGGAAGTTCAGAAACTATGATCGCGTATACATTCACACGAAGAGCAACCTAAAAGAGTAAAAGATATACATGTCAATTTAAATGCAAATAGCAAAAGCATATCATATTGGTTTAATGTCTCTATATCAATGGAAACAAAATGTTATTGTTGTGGTTCTACATAGAAACCCAATGTTCACACTTCTACACAAATGGCTTGATTGATTTAGATGTGATGGATGGTAATAGTGTATAGACTATAGTTGTCGAAGATGCAGTATATCAATGCCATTATTATGTAAACAACTGTAATATCTTTTTTCCCATAAAAATGTAGTATGATATTCGAATGATACACTTGAAGATCTAAACTTTGTGTGAGATTTCTTGCTCGAAAAAGAAAATCATTTAACTTGAGATTAATATAAACGAGTCATCGTCATTTGGTCAAAGGAGATGTATTTCATTCTTTTAAATAGAAGTATTTTATTTGTTTTATAGAAATGTATATTACATAGTATAATTTTCAAAAAAAAAATAGTTGTCTTCCCCAAAATAGAAAAAAAGAAAGAAAAACCAAAGAATTTGAATAAGTTACACACATGGAGGAAAAACAATGATATCCGTTGAGTAGAAGGCAACTTTCGATTAGGAACACGTGGCTTTAATCCAACGGCTGAGATGAACTAGCCGTTAATTTTAAAGAAAAAAATAAAAATTTACAGACAATATATCCGCTCTTCTCGTCTTCAAAATCTCTATTACTCTTTTTTTTTCTTTCTTTGCCCTTATATAGAGAGAGAGAAGAAAGATAGAGAGAGAGTGTGAAGGATCTTCAATATCGAAGCCATTAGAGAGAAAGAGAGCGTGGTTGAATCTTTGGGTTTTACTAAAAGATCTCTCTTTCTCTCCTTTGTTTGATCAACTTGGATCCAACGAGAAAAGACTATTAGGGTTTAGGAGATTCACTGGGTTTCTGAAGAATTTGTGATCAAGGGTTTACTTATCTTTGAATTGACTGTGAAAAGGTGATTTTTTTGAAGAAATAATTTGTGGGTTTTCGTCATCTGGGTATTTGGGATTAGGTCATGTTCTTGATTGGGTCTTTTCGAGATTATTAAACCGGATCTGTAGGGTTTTGATTGTCAAGACTAGTTTTTTTTTCAATTTCAATTTTAAAAAACCCTGCTTTTAAGTTGGGGGATGTTTCGATTTTGAAATTTGATTTTTCAAGAGATGATTTAATGAAATAAATAACCTCCGCAGATAACGAAGAAGAAGAAGAAAATGGGTCGATCAGATGAAAATAGCCTTGGATTAATCGGATCAATGAATCTCCAAGGTACCCTAAAATCGCAGCGATTTTGTTATCAAAAATCAAAACTTTGTCTTTAATTTTTCCCCCAAATTGATTTCGAATTTACTTGGTGCAGGCGGAGGAGGAAAGATCAAGACTACGGCAACAACAGGACCGACCAGAAGAGCACTAAGTACAATTAACAAGAACATCGTTGAAGCGCCGTCTTACCCTTATGCTGTCAACAAGAGATCACTGTCTGAGTAAGTTTACTTAAATCCTCAGATTCAAGATTAGTTTTTTTTCTTCCTTTGATTAGACTCTTAGGAACCCAATTTCTTTCTCTGATTATGCAGAAGGGATGGCATTTGTAATAAACCACCTGTGCATCGACCAGTTACTAGGTAAAGTATAGATCTTTACTCTTGTCTACTTTGAGTATCTCACATTGTCTGATTACTGAGATTTTTCTACTCTCTGTTGGTTCAGGAAGTTTGCTGCTCAGTTAGCAGATCAGAAGCCACAAATCCGTGAGGAGGTACCCTATTGTGACACTGTTCAGTGTGTGTTTCGTTTAGAGCAATGATGACATAAGAAACTAAGAAATTTGACTGGATTTAAATTTCTGATCTTTAACTCTTAGGAAACTAAGAAACCAGACTCGGTTTCAAGCGAAGAACCAGAGAGGATTATCATTGATGGGGATGATAGTGAGACAGAAGGAGGCGACTTTAATGAGCCAATGTTTGTTCAACACACTGAAGCAATGCTGGAGGAGATTGACCAGAAGGTATACATATTCACTAACCCTTCTTTGTTTTTTTTGTGTGCAGAAGTGTTAATAGAGTTACTCATATTGTTTGTGTCTTTCAAAAGGAGAAGGAGATTGAAATGGAAGATGCAGACAAAGAAGAAGAGCCTGTGATCGATATTGATGCCTGTGATAAAAAGAATCCTTTGGCTGCGGTTGAATATATCCATGATATGCATACCTTCTACAAGAATTTTGAGGTTACTTTGTCTTGCTTTACATGAACTTTTGCTGTTTTGTTCTTTCTCTTCGAAAGGATTCTAGTTTCAAATCTTGTACTTATGTTTGATTCATTCTTATGATTCTGCAGAAACTTAGTTGTGTGCCTCCTAACTACATGGACAATCAACAAGATCTTAATGAGAGGATGAGAGGAATCCTCATTGACTGGTTAATTGAGGTAGACAGATCCAGACAAAAGCTATTTAATGTCACTGTTGTTGTCTCAATGTGCCTGAAGATAAATTGACTGGATCATTTTATTTTGAGCAGGTGCACTACAAGTTTGAGCTGATGGAAGAAACTCTTTATCTCACAATCAATGTCATCGACAGATTCCTTGCAGTTCATCAAATCGTGAGGAAAAAGCTTCAGCTTGTTGGTGTTACTGCTTTGTTGCTTGCATGTAAGTATGAAGAAGTTTCAGTTCCAGTGGTAGATGATCTCATCTTGATCTCTGACAAAGCTTACACTAGAAGTGAAGTGCTAGATATGGTGAATACATAACTTTCTCTTGATCATTAATTACCATAGGATGATGCTTCAGTGTTGAATTTACCTGTTTTTGGTTTCTATTGCAGGAGAAGCTAATGGCCAACACCTTGCAATTCAATTTCTCTCTACCAACTCCATATGTTTTCATGAAACGCTTTCTCAAAGCTGCCCAATCTGACAAAAAGGTATATATCTCCCTAAATAAATAAAAACTTGAATCTTTATGTTCAAACCATCAGGCCTAATATCTAAAATCTGTGTGGTATGCAATTGTTGTTTCAGCTTGAGGTTTTATCGTTCTTTATGATCGAGCTTTGCCTTGTGGAGTATGAGATGCTAGAGTATCTTCCATCTGAGCTTGCGGCCTCGGCAATCTACACTGCTCAGTGTACACTTAAGGGATTTGAAGAATGGAGCAAAACCTGTGAGTTTCACACAGGCTACAAGGAAGAACAGCTATTGTAAGAACATACATTGATGGTCGAATTTCTTTGAAAACGCCAGATGAGATTTTCGAATTCTGACAATGGGTTTTTGTGTTTTATTCTAGGGAATGTGCGAGAAAGATGGTTGCTTTTCATCACAAGGCAGGAACAGGGAAGCTCACAGGAGTTCACAGGAAGTACAACACATCTAAGTTCTGTCATGCTGCAAGAACTGAACCAGCTGGGTTTCTGCTTTAATGGAGGAAAAAGACTATAATAAGAATCTAATATGACTTAACTCGAGTTTTTCTTTTGAACAAAAAGAGTGAGAGAGGGAGAGAGATAGAGCAAGTTGCCCAAATAGGAGATGTACAATTGTTGTTGGTTTTCTCTTTTTAAGGTCTTTAGATCTTTCTTCACTTGAGAGAGAATAAAAAGATGCAGTCAGTCTTTTCATATCATGTTTTCCTATATTCAAATTGTGGATCGATCCTAATAATTTCATGTATAGAATTGTTTTAACTCAGGAAAATCTATGAGCCATTTTGATTAATATCACTCAGGAACTGAACCTCTAAACTGAATCAAATCTACAAGTCGTTTTGGTACTCTGGAACTAACCTCTAGACTGTATCAAATATTCTACAAGTTATTTTGGCACATGGCACTTTTTTGGATTGTAATTTGGGAAAATAGCTTCAGTGAGTTGAACAAACATTGTAAAGGGGAGATTTAGTCAATGGTCATCTACTTCTAGTATTTTATTATCTTGTTCCTTCAATTTAACTTTGTTTTATGATCTTCGTTAGGATCTTAGTCTTATTAAGACCTTTTTGAAAACAATGTGCTTTGTTTTACTCATCTACTGTCAGAAATGGAGAATGCGCCAAAAAAGAAAAAAGATCATAACGAAAACTTGTCAATGATTCAAACATCTTGGTACCCCAAAATACAGAACTACTAGTGCATCTGGACATATCTCTCTTGTTCTCTCTTGTTTGGTTTTACAGTGGACCCTAAAGCATAGATAACAGAACCAAGAAAGGCGGCTTTCACCTGGATATGGCAGAAAGACTGTCTCAGAATCAAAGCTTACATGTTGAGGGTAAAATCAATCATCTCCTCACAGGTGGTACCGCTCCCCTTCCTCCAGTTCCACGCCCAGGCCCGGCAGCCGGCTTTAAGATAATATCACAAAGATTCAAGAATCCAACCATTAGTAATGACAAAGAAGAAGAAACACAGCATTGAAGGCTGGTAAGGATTTCAACATGCTTAATAAGTTCCATAAAACTTCCTAACATTGCTTGTATGAGCAATAAATCATGAGAGAGAGAGTGAACTTACTTTCCCTCGCATTGCAGCTCTACCTCTGCCAACACCTAGTGATGAGCTCTTTCCCTACATTGATTAAGCAAATAAGGTATGATGTTTATAGAAGATATACATAGAGACTCTAATTCATTCTGCATCCAGGTTCAAAAAGCATATATACCTTGATTCTAGCATCTAAGCGCTTGAACATTGGAGCATGCTTGAGAATGTCTGGTATGACCATAAACCTGTCAAGATATATCCGCAAGTCAATTACTAATCAGTTAGGGTTACAAGAATGATCCTATGAATTACATAAACAAGGAAACAAGCACAAGTAAAAAGAAGTGTTAGTTACAGCACCTGACTTTGCTGCCTCGAATGAAGACATGCTCAAGCTGTGATACCTTACCATCCTGTAACACAGCATTGGAAAACCCCAAATGAAAAGTTAAGTGACAATTAACAAACGACGCCACTAAGTTGTATTTGAAATACACGTATGTTGACAAATTGATGAGTCCTATAGATCAATAATAAGCTTAACCAATCTGAGTACTATTCCCTAAGAGTCCAAATTTATCTAATGTCTCTCACAAGATCACCAATTCTAGGGTTTTATACAGCATAAATTTCAAGGATACTTAATCCCCACTTAGAAATCTAAATAAGAAGCAATCCAAAATTTCTCAGCTCACCAAATCTAGGGTTTAACAGCACTAACATCAAACAATGAAATTAAAAACGAAACCTAAGGATCAAAAAACAATCTCTTATAAAATGAATCGAGATCTTCGAAGTAACAGTTGAATACCTTGGCGGTGTAAGTAATATCCTCGAGCTGACAGTTCCAGTTATCCTCACACTCAATCATACTTCCTCTGTAAAGCTCACCGCTCTTTAGCTCCACCGTCACGATATGACCTGAGGCCTCGTGAAGAAGCTTCACCGGTATCCCCAAACTTCGGCTCATCTCTCTCTCTACAAAAACCCTAATTAAAAACCTTCTCCTTTAACTCTGCAACCTAGAAAGAAAAAAATGGCGGAAGGAAAGAGAGCGAGTCAGATGCGATTGACAATTTTACCTCTTTAAAAAGCTTTCCTGATTTATTGTTGGGCTTTATATTAGGCCCGTTTATTATATTAAGCCCAACTTGAGAAACTTGCTTTTTAGTCCCTATATTTTGACATTAAATGTATTTTTAATCCTTATTTTTGTACAGACGACGGCTGATTTTCACGGGTTAATAAGACGAAGGAACCACCGTTGCGAAAACTCGCCGGAAGATATGGCGGACCAGATGGAGCCCAAAGGAGAGAAGAAGTACAAGTATAGCATAATCATTCCTACATACAACGAGCGCCTCAACATCGCTATCATAGTCTACCTGATTTTCAAGCATCTCCGGTAAATGAATATTATTTCTTTTGATCTTTTCACGTTTCTTCTCTAATTCCATAATCCGGTTCGCGAAGAACTTTCTGTTTTTTTTTCTTTGACTGAATGCTAAAATTCGAATCTGATCGCCAATTTCAAGTTATGGATCTCGGAAATTTTCCGATCATTGCAGATCCTAATTCGTGATTGTTGTTTGTGTGCATGAGCTAGTAAAGGCCAATGTAGTGATCCCTCAAACTATATAGGATTAGTTCCATGGTGTTTTAAAAACTTTGATTTTGTGATCGGAGAATGATCAGAAGCTAGATGTGCTAATCTCAGATCGATTCTGGCTGTGGCTGCTTATTAGAAATTTAATAGAATTGCACTTGTTAAGTAGACTCTTCTCTGTTAAAAGTTACTGAGAATTTGCTTCGTCACTTATTCGTATGATTTAGGGACGTTGATTTTGAGATAATTGTTGTGGATGATGGGAGTCCTGATGGCACACAGGAAATTGTCAAGCAACTGCAGCAATTGTATGGTGAAGACCGTATCGTGAGTACAATTGACGTTTTAGGACCTTAATTGGTAAATTATTGCGTGTTCTTCTGTTTAGGGGAACTTATGTTTTTTTGTTTTTTTATGATGCAGCTTTTAAGAGCTAGAGCCAAGAAGCTTGGTCTGGGTATGTAATTTGTATCTACATTGTCTTCTAGTTTTGCTTAACAAGAAGTGGAATTAATCTTCTTGGCATGATCAATCTCAGGAACTGCATATATTCATGGTTTGAAGCATGCTACGGGTGATTTCGTCGTAATCATGGATGCTGATCTTTCACATCATGTAAGAGCCACCAATTGAGTTTTCTTGTTTACCCCTCTAATTGTTGAGCTAACCCAGTCACTTTTCTTTTGTGCAGCCAAAATACTTACCAAGTTTCATCAAGTAAGAAAAAGAAAAGTCTCTTGATCTCTTACTAATTTCACAAGCTATAGTAACTTCAATTGACTCTCTTTTTTTCTTATCATGAAGGAAACAACTAGAGACAAATGCAAGTATAGTAACCGGTACACGATATGTAAAAGGTGGTGGTGTACACGGGTGGAATCTTATGCGGAAACTCACTAGTAGAGGAGCAAATGTGCTAGCTCAAACACTTTTATGGCCCGGTGTATCGGATTTAACAGGATCATTCCGGTAAAATTCAAATAACCTACGTGCATCTTTTTTACTGACATCATTCAATAGTTTCATTTCTGACCTCCGCACCTCTTTGTTTGGAAGGCTATACAAGAAATCGGTGCTTGAAGACGTGATTAGCTCATGTGTGAGTAAAGGGTATGTCTTTCAGATGGAAATGATTGTTCGTGCAACCAGAAAAGGATACCATATTGAAGAGGTCTCAATTTTTATATCAATTCACTGTGATTTTGATTCCTTGTAATCTCTTTACTTCATTCATATTCATGATTCCCTGGTGCTCATCTTCATCTGCAGGTACCGATCACTTTTGTTGACAGAGTTTTTGGAACTTCGAAGCTCGGAGGATCTGAAATAGTGGAATATCTAAAAGGCCTTGTCTATCTTCTGCTCACGACTTAGAGACACCAAGCAACTCAACAACACATGTGTCTCTCGTTATAGTTTTATTGCATCATAGATTCTCTTAACATTTGAACTCTGATCATGTCTTTTAGAAACTTCACTTTAGCTTTTTTGACTTCCGAGAGTTACATCTTTTGAGACTCAAAAGTTCATATTACAGACGTTGTTCATTTTGAATACTGAGTTGAGATATCTTACATTTGATAATCAAATTACCTTAACCAACGAAAAAAGTCAGATCGTTCGTAATAATCTTAACACAAATGTACACTCTTTGTTGTTACTTTGATTAAAAATTCAAATGCGCCTTTATAATTTGGGCCCATTTGAGACCTTTTCACTTGCTCTGGCTCTCACAGTCTCACACTCTCACCGACTCTCTCTCTCAAATTCATCCGCATCAAAGCTTCTTCGATTTCCCTCCTAACAATTGGATATGGAAAACCAAAATTCACAGTGATGTCCGAGTCGTTGCTTCGAGTTGATCGCGCTTGCTAAGAAACCCTAATTCCAGGAGCGATGTGCAGTCGCAGAGTTTGGACACACTCAGAACTAACTCCTTCTTCAGTGAGCGTGAATGAATCCGATCTGGTAATGCCGCAAACACTTATTCTTCAGTTTCTTATCGTCAACGCAATTCAACCCTTATTCTCCGGATGTTTGATTTAGGTGAAAGGTCTCTTACAAGCTTTGCAAGGTTTCTCAAGTCCCTTCATTTTCTGGGACCAAAAGGAACAAACTTTCCGCGCTAAAAGTGAGATACGAGTCTCTCATTTGTCTCAGTCAAGCCTTCATGTCCTTCTCGCTGGATTTTTGTATGCCGCAACATGTTTGAAGCTTGTGGAGTCTATTGTTGCTGGAATTAATACCTCTCTTAGATCTCCTCCTACTTTAATGGGATTTTCGAACTCTGTCTCTGGTTGGCTTGAGGCAAGTAGTCCACAACTCCCTTTTCGTGTTTTTTTATTTGGCTTGTTCTTGAACCTTTGTTTTGTTGAGACTGATATACAATTGGGCATTCGAACAGAGACTCAGAGATATTGCTTTGAATGAGGAAGTGAAGATCAACGATTCTAATCTTGCTGTCACTCCAACTCTCTTGGGATTAACTAGTTCTTTATCTAGGTGTGTAGCCTAGGTCATTTTTATATCGATGATGCTGTTTCTCGGTTCAAGAACTATATTTTATAGCAGTCTTCACCTTTTTTTTTCTTCTTTCTATTTGCTAGTCTGTGTTCAGGTGCTGAATATCTTTTCCAAGTTGTACGAGGTGCGATCCCTCATGCGTATTTTGAGTCGAGTTCAGCTATTTCAACCGCTGAAATTGCTGTCCACGTTCTTGATTACCTTTACAAGAGGCTGGATGAAGTATGCCTTGTCCAAGGTGGTGAGGTTGTGGCCGTTTTCATGAGTTTTATGTTTTTTTTTTTGCTTTTGTTGCTGCTCACTTCTCTAATTGGATTATTGAAAATATTTTGACCAGGTGGAAGGATTTCATGTGCTGCTGCAAATATTTGCTGGAAGTTTATTGCCATATGTAGAAGGTTTGGATTCATGGTTATTTGAAGGAACTCTTGATGATCCTTTTGAAGAGGTAGGTGTTCTTGGAGTTGTATTTATGTTCCATGGGGTTTCAACAATTTTCCTCTATCTTTTTTATGCCAACATCAAAGTATATTCTTTACAAGGCTAGCAAATTGAAAGTTTGATGATGATGAAATTCTTAGTTGAGGTGAAGATTAACTTTTGTTTCTTCGCAGTTGTTTTTTTCAGCCAACCAATCTGTCTCCGTTAGCGATGCAGAGTTTTGGGAGAAAAGCTATCTGTTGACGAGGGTGCTGGGTCCAAAATCAAATGTAACTTCGCTAAATCAAAAGAAAGGAATGAGTGGAAATGACTCCAATTCAGTTTCTGACAAAGACAAAGAGCAGAATAATCGGGTGTTATGCCCACTATTCATAAAAGACATCTGTAAGTCGATTGTTTCTGCTGGAAAGTCACTGCAGCTGATGCGGCATATTCCTTCTACGTCTTCAGAAAAGTGTGGAAAGATTCAGTACCATGGGCAAAATGATTTTGGGAATTCGGCTTGTGGCATACTCCTGGCTGGGAGGAACAGCTTTAGAAGCACTGCAGACTTAGCCTTGTCTGAAATCTTCTGTCTATCACTTGCTGGTCTCATAGGCCATGGTGATCATGTATCTAGATACCTGTGGAAAGATGAGACAGATGAGTGGGAGATTTCTCCAACTTTGCCATTATATATAAGTGGAAGGCTAGTGGATGGCACAGGTGATAGAGATATTTCAGCTCTCACATACTCAGACCGAATGTGGTATAAGTTGTTGGTTGGTGCTGTGCAAGAGAAAAGATCTATAGACGCCAAATCAGAACTCCAGAGTCCATGTTATGTTAGTCATGTTAAAGACGAGAAAAATGTTCTCGTTGCCGAAAAGGTGTTGCAGCGGTTGTTTTGTCATGAGAACCCTGTTGTTTCAGTATCTAAAATGGATCTTGAGAGGAATAAGAATGCATGGAATGTCTTGAACTTATCACAAAACTATTGCCTACCCTCGTTAAATGATGAGAGTTTGTTGAGTGCTGTTTTTGAGGGATCTGGCGTGGCAGATACAGGATTGACCGGAACAAACTACAAATTTGGGTTCCAATTCGGTAGATCTGAATATCTTTCTAATCAGGATGACACCCAAATTCTAGAAACGTTATTTCCTTTTCCCACATTGCTTCCGTCATTCCAGGTACTTAGATACTGATCATTTTATGTCCATTCCTTCACTTTTGTCCCATTTGCAATAGTTTCTGATCGCTTAGTTTGAAATATTTGTGATCAACAAAAACAAAACAAAAAAGCCGAAGCTCCATATGTCAGAATTTCTACCTTTCCAAAAGAATAGTACACTTCCTTCCAGAGTTCTCAGCTGGATGCTTAAGGCAGAGCCAAGGGATACTCCACTTCCTGTTGTAATAATGCAAGAATGCTTGACAATCTACATCAGGAGGCAGGTACTGTGATGTAAGCTTTGCATTGCCACTTGTTGCTACGACATGCATACTTACCTTCTGATAGTTGTGCGTGTTGTAGGTGGACGACATTGGCAAAGTGATTTTGTCAAAACTAATGAATGATTGGAAATTGATGCACGAACTTGCGGTGTTGCGTGCCATTTACTTGTTAGGTTCAGGTACGTTTTATGTGCTTCAACTTCTTTGGCAATAGGATCGTAACTGGAATTTTAATAAATCCTTTAAATTTTTCAGGGGACCTTCTGCAGCATTTTCTGACTGTCATATTCGATAGACTGAGCAAGGGAGAGTCATCAAATGATGATTTTGAGTTGAACATAATCCTTCAGGTAACCACGTTTGGTGAACTTCTTTCTAGAAACACTGCTCTCATCATTATAGTTATCTCTAGTAAACAGATTCTGTTTGTTTATTTTTTGCTTATGTATCCCTGTTTTCTATTGCGGTATATCGTGTTCATACAAACAAACTTAATTCAAAATTGTAATGGTTATTTACAGGAATCTATTAGAAATTCAGCTGATGCCATGTTGTTAAGCAGTCCTGATGCATTGGTGGTATCTATTTCCAGTGAAGGGTCTTTGGACAGAGACAAAGATGACAAGGGTGAAGTCAAACCCCGTTCTTCAACTCGTAAAAGCCGTGTTAACAATTTTGGGATAGATTGCCTTGAGTCTCTCAAATTCACATACAAGGTGTAGAGAAAAGCATTTAGTCTTACACCCAATTGCAGCGTACTGGCATATTACATGTGCTACATCTATGGGCATTTAAAGATCTTAACAAATTTCCTTTTAAGGTGCCGTGGCCGCTAGAGCTTATTGCGAACAGTGAGGCCATTAAGAAGTATAACCAGGTGAGCCTTTCTCATCCAGCTATTTTTGGTGGGGAAACAGTGTGTTGTTCTATGTGTTAATTATTTAAATGAAAACAGGTGATGGGATTTTTGTTGAAGGTCAAACGAGCAAAATATGTGCTTGATAAAGCACGAAGGTGGATGTGGAAGGTCTTTGATATCTCTCAAACTCATTTCTTTCCATTAAGACTGCTTCATTTGACATCCAAATCCAATCTCAGATAGCCTGATTAGTTTTTTGATATATACGTAATGTAAAGAGGAATCATAATAATGAGGTTTAGTTTGATAAACTTAGTGACTTTGGTGTTTGTGTATTACAGGGTAAAGGCTCTGCAACAAAAATCCGCAAGCACCACTGGTTACTGGAACAAAAGCTCCTCAATTTTGTGGATGCTTTTCATCAATACGTAATGGACAGGGTATTGTCTGATACTGAATTGTTATAATTACCGTATTATCTTGCGTTGTTATAAGTGGGTGCAAGTGTTTTTGCAAAATTGAAAGTTGATGTTATAGCTTGAATCTTATTAGGCCTGACTGGATTTTGTAAACAGGTATATCACACTGCATGGCGTGAACTGTGCGAAGCTATGGTAAAAGCAGGGTCTCTAGATGAGGTCATAGATGTACATGAGACGTACTTGTTATCGATTCAGAGGCAATGTTTTGTGGTTCAAGAAAAGCTGGTAATGGACCATTATTATATGCATAATAAATATTTGGGTAAAAACTAAGTATCTGGTGGGTTGTGTATACAGTGGGTAATCATCGCAAGTCGGATCAACATGATTCTCGGGTTAGCTCTAGAATTCTACTCAATACAACAGACGCTGAGCAGCGGTGGAGCAGTTTCAGCTATCAAGGCTAGATGCGAAATGGAGATAGACCGCATCGAGAAACAATTTGAGGACTGTATTGCATTCCTCCTTAGAGTAAGGCCACTCCAGTTTATCTGAAATTCGGTGTACTCTTTTCTTGTCTCAGTTTAATAAATGTGTAATATTGAAACTCACAGGTATTGACTTCAAAGCTGAACGTGGGACACTTCCCTCATCTGGCAGACTTGGTGACCAGAATCAATTACAATTATCACTACATGTCTGACACTGGAAGCTTGATGACTGTTTCTGGATCATAGACCAACTCGTCCAGGCTTTTCTAGAGCTCTTTTATAGTAGTGCCTTTCAAAGCCACTGTTTTTAATTAGATGTGTAAATTCAATTTGTAAAATGTGTTTTGCAAAAAAAAAAAAAAAAAAAAAAAAAACATTCCAACTCTAGCGTGAGCAAAATGAATACATACATGTGCCATGTGGTCTCTCTGTCTAGAGTCCACTTACCCACTATATAGACTGATTGCAAAAATCAAATAGACCATTTGCTTCATAATACGACAAAAACCTAAAGCTACTACTTCTCCGGCGAAAAAAACTAAGAAAATGGAGGGAACTATCAAATCTCCGGCCAATTACGTTCCTCTTACTCCAATCAGCTTCCTCGATCGATCTGCTGTCGTCTACGCTGACAGAGTCTCCGTCGTTTATGGCTCCGTCAAGTACACGTGGCGCCAGACTCGTGACCGCTGCGTCAGAATCGCCTCCGCTCTCTCCCAGCTCGGAATCTCTACCGGAGATGTGGTCAGAAGCTCTCTTTCACCGATTTAGCTAGTTTAATTAGTTAATTTACATGCAATTTGGAGATATTTGTGCTCGTATATCGATGATAATTTTGGATTTCAAATTTCTCATCCCTCGAAAGTTTTTAAGTTAATCGAAACTTTGTTTGCTGCGTTTTCTGATTCACACGATGATCAGGTTTCAGTGTTGGCCCCAAATATTCCAGCTATGGTTGAGTTGCATTTTGGTGTTCCTATGGCTGGAGCTTTGCTTTGTACACTCAACATTCGTCATGATTCTGCACTTGTAGCAGTCTTACTGAGACATTCAGGGACAAAAGTGATTTTTGCAGATCATCAGTTTCTTCAAATAGCTCAAGGAGCTTGTGAAATCCTCTCAAAGAACGGTGACACGGTCCCTATTTTGGTCTTGGTCCCAGAGCCTCTTACTCAATCTGTTTCAGGGAAGAAGAGATCTGAGGAGGATATAATGGAATATGAAGATGTTGTGGCGATGGGGAAATCGGATTTCGAGGTTATACGACCAACTGATGAGTGTGATCCTATATCTGTTAATTACACTTCAGGTACCACTTCAAGTCCCAAAGGTGTTGTTTATAGTCACAGAGGTGCTTATTTGAATTCTCTGGCTGCGGTTTTACTCAACGAAATGCACTCATCGCCTACTTATCTATGGACTAATCCCATGTTTCATTGCAATGGCTGGTGCTTATTGTGGGGTGTTACCGCAATTGGTGGGACTAACATATGTTTGAGGAATGTGACGGCCAAGGCTATATTCGATAATGTTTCCCAGCATAAGGTGACTCACATGGGAGGTGCGCCAACAATATTGAATATGATCATCAACGCGCCTGAATCCGAGCAGAAACCGCTTCCTGGGAAGGTATCTTTTATAACCGGTGCTGCACCGCCACCAGCTCATGTGATTTACAAGATGGAAGAGTTGGGCTTTTCTATGTTTCATTCCTATGGGTTAACCGAAACTTATGGACCAGGCACGATCTGTACATGGAAACCTGAGTGGGACTCTTTGCCTAGAGAAGAACAGGCGAAAATGAAAGCCCGGCAAGGCGTGAATCATATAGGGATCGAGGAAATACAAGTTAAAGATCCTCTAACCATGAGAACTTTGGCAGCTGATGGTGTGACTATGGGTGAAGTTGTCTTCAGGGGAAACACAGTGATGAATGGTTACTTAAAGAACCCTGAAGCAACCAAGGAAGCTTTTAAAGGAGGTTGGTATTGGAGTGGCGACTTAGGTGTTAAGCACCCCGACGGATACATAGAGCTGAAAGACCGATCAAAAGACATTATAATCTCTGGAGGAGAAAACATTAGCTCGATTGAAGTCGAGTCTACTCTGTTCACTCATCCTTGTGTTCTTGAAGCAGCTGTTGTTGCGAGGCCTGATGAGTATTGGGGTGAGACTGCTTGTGCATTTGTGAAGCTTAAAGACGGGTCTAAGGCCAGCGCGGAGGAGCTTATAAGCTATTGCAGGGACCGGCTTCCGCATTATATGGCTCCGAGGAGTATCGTGTTTGAGGATCTTCCTAAAACATCGACCGGAAAAGTTCAGAAGTTTGTTCTGAGGACCAAGGCTAAGGCTTTGGGAAGCTTATCAAAGAAAGGCAGAAGCAAGTTATAAATTGGTAAGCTCTTTTTGTTACTTCCGATCTCTATGAGATGTGTTATAAATTTGTTACTGTCTATAAGATCATGTTTGTGTCTAAGCTAAACCGGAATGAAAAACTTAAACCAAGTTGTATGTTTCTGAAATTAATAAAACCGGAATGAAATTGGAATTCCGGAAAATTAGATCTCTAGCATTCTGATTAGAGTTGAATCTGATGGCAAGTGGATGGATATATATTTACTTTATCTTTAAAAGGGAATCAATCTTTGGTCATTGTCTCTTAATTATCTATTTTTTGTTGTTCTTTACTGCAATTTGTTTCTTGGATTTCGACTATTTTAAGAAAGCTAAATAAAGTACTACTGTTGTTAGAAAGTCGTGTATTGTTCTACACATACATATCAACATGGTACAATATATAAATCGATTTTATTAGGGGTCCATTATGATTTGTTTCTTCTTTCCTAAATCGGTTTAAGAGGTTGGTATCAATCAATTTCTATGTTTTTAATCCTTCACAATCATAAATAAGAAATTTAATTTACTCTTTAGTTTGATTTTTCTACATTCATTGATATTTTCAATTTTAATGCAAAATTCTATTGATGTTATAATGAATTGAAAAGTATATTTCATATTTATGGATGCATGCGATACAAAATATATAATTACAAAACTTATAATCACTAAATAAATTTGTGTACCTAACAGTCTAACAAATTACGTTGTATAGTATTTAAGAAAAGTAGATGTTAACATTGCAACGAAATGAGTGAACTTACTATAAGTCTCCATCCTATGGTTCACATGGTGAAACTTGTAGTTGTAACAAGAAATAATCATTCCGAGAACGCGTAAAGATAAACTTAATAATCTACTAATCAATTTGCGTGTGAACTATCTTTTTGCTCAATCAATCCATACGAGTGCTTAAACCAACGTGACTAAACCGGACCATGACTCGGTTAGACCATAGGTAGAATGGTAGATGATCTCAAACCGTTGATTAATTTCCGATTTTGGTTAAGAGTAGGGATGCAAGAATTCTCAAACCGGTTCACACCATTTATGTTCATCGATTGTGACAAGACCAAGTAAACAGAAACTGTATAAAAGACAGACAAAAAGAGTATACTTTCTTTCGCAGTTCACGCTATTGTTCACTTACACTCTTTAGCAAAAAGTTAATAACTGAAATAGTAATTTGAAAATATTCTTCTTTTTACTAATATAAAGATATGAAAAAATAGGGATGATAACAAATGTAAAGCTAAAGAGTAATATTTACACCATTATGGAAATTTAGACAGTAATGGTTCTAAAGTGATTTTAGAATAATATAGCTTCCAACTTGCTCTACTGTCAAAAAAAGATGGTTAGTGTTCACAAAATGCTAAACTAGATAAAATCAATTATTAGTAACAATAATGTCTAGATAAGTACTCCCTCCGTATTTTAATAATTGTCGTTTTAGAATTTTTATTTTTTTGAATTAGATGTCGTTTTCAAATTTCTATGCAAAATTTATTACTTTTTAATGTTTTATGACATCATAAAACATTAAAAAGTAAGAAATTTTGCATTGAAATTTGAAAACGACATCCAATTCAAAAAAATAAAATTTCTAAAACGACAATTATTAAAATACGGAGGGAGTATAAAATTAAACAAAACAGGAAATTTAACAATCAAAACGAAATAGAGAAACAAATAGAATAACTTTCATTTTGCAAGATTCTTAAAATCCAGCTCATAGTTTATCACCATAATAAAAACAATTAATTTCATTAATTAAATAATTAAAAAATAAAAAATAAAGCTGTTAGAACGAAGTGCTGGAGGCGGTGCCTCATTTCTTTCAGAGCCCAGAAATCTATAAGAACTGTCCCAAAACAAAAAACCAAAAAAAATTCTCAATATTAAAAAATTCTCAATCTTTCTCTTTCTGTGTCTCTGGTATATATAAAAATTCAATCTTGAAGCGAAAGAGAGAATCTACAATGATTGTTGTGGTGATGGAAATGTCGTGAAAACCAGAGGAGAATCACAAATAAAAACAGAACAGACATGCTTTCATTTTGAATCTCTTTAACCAGTGTACTCTTAAAGAGAAAGACTTTTGTTTTTGTCTCCGTTGGAACACCAATCTCTCTTTGTCTGGCGTAGAGGCGAAGGCAAAAGCGCCGCGTGTAATAGCCTTCAATGGCTTTTCAGCGGCGGCGCTACAATTACTACAACCGTCTCCGTCGTCTCCTCCCTTTAATTTGCGCCGTCTCTGGAGCTCTCCTTATCCTCTTCGCTCTCCTCTCCATTCTTTCCCCTCCTCCTGATGATTCCGATCGCCGCATCTCCGTACACACTCTCTCTCTCTAGACTTCTTGATGATGAGATTCTGATCTCTGTCTCTTACCGCCATTGTATCTGTTTAATTGCAGAAGCAGATTCACTATGGAGCCAATGATGAGAAGAAGAACATACCAGTGGTTTTCACAGTTCCGGTTAGGGTTCTTAAATTTGATTGCAAAGTCTGAATTTTTTTGTTGCATCTCTCTTTATTGGCTCATTTTGTGTTTGTGTTTGTTTTAAACCGAAGCAGAGAGGTGGAGGGAAATTGGATCGTGATATCTGGCGTTCATGGAATGCTGAATTCTTTCATGGTTGTTGTAACGCAAGCACCAAGTTCCCAAGTGTGTAAAGTATTTTTACTTTTTAAGTTAATTTTGGTGTTTAGAGAGTTTAAGTTTAGAATGCTTGAATGTTTTTGCAATTGGGGATAGTTGTTAGCTAGAATCATCCAATGATAGTTTTTGAATTTCTGGAGGTTTATTAGTCACAGTACATTTTGATTTTCTTACTGCAGATGCTAAAGCAATTACTAGAAATGATCGATACTTGGCGATTGCCACTAGTGGTGGTTTAAACCAACAACGGACTGGAGTAAGTTCCTTTAGCTTTCTCTGGCTTTATGGTGATTTTTTTGTTTTTACTTAAATCTTGGTTCTGAGGACTGAGTTTTACAATCCAATTACTTCTTTCAGATTGTAGATGCTGTTGTTGCTGCACGGATTCTAAACGCTACGCTTGTTATTCCGAAGTTGGACCAGAAATCCTACTGGAAAGATGCCAGGTTCTTGCTTAGGATTTTCTCAAGCTTTCGTAAAAATCTAAACATCATGTATCTTATTAACATCTTACTTTTATGCTTTTTATATATGCAGTGACTTCTCAAACATTTTCGATGTCGATTGGTTTATGTCATTTCTCTCCAAAGATGTCAAAATCATTGAGAAACTTCCACAGAAAGGAGGGCAAACATGGAGCCCTCGCAGAATGCGTGTACCGAGAAAATGCAATGAGAAATGCTATATCAATCGGGTGTTACCTGTTCTTCACAAAAGGCATGTAAGTTTTCCTGTTTTTCTCTCAATCTTTAGGCTTCTTAGCATCTAAAGGTTTCATGATTTCCTCTTTCCCTATGATGCTTGTATATGATTTTGTCTTGTAACTCTTTGTTTCAGGCAGTTGAATTGAATAGATTTGATTACAGACTCTCAAACAAGTTGAGAGATGATCTGCAGAAGCTGAGGTGTAGAGTAAATTATCATGCGCTTAAGTTCACTGATCCAATTCTTGAAATGGGTAACAAATTGGTCCGAAGAATGCGGAAAAAGAGCAAGCACTTCATTGCTTTACATCTAAGGTTTGAACCTGATATGCTCGCCTTCTCTGGATGTTACTATGGTGGTGGTGAGAAGGAGAAGAAAGAGTTAGGAACAATCAGAAGGAGATGGAAAACTTTACATGTATGGATACAAATCTAATCTGTGCAAAGGCCATCTTTTTTTTTGTTGGATTTAACTAGTTATATATTACGAATTTCGCATTGCAGGTAAATAACCCCGAAAAGCAAAGGCGACAAGGAAGATGTCCGCTAACACCAGAAGAAGTTGGATTAATGCTTAGAGCTTTGGGATATGGAAGTGATGTTCATATATATGTTGCATCAGGTGAAGTATATGGAGGAGAAAAATCATTGGCTCCTTTGAAAGCACTTTTCCCACATTTCTATTCAAAAGACACCATCGCTACAAAAATGGAGTTAAAACCATTTTCTTCTTATTCTTCACGAATGGCTGCACTTGATTTCCTTGTGTGTGATGAAAGCGATGTTTTCGTTACCAACAATAACGGAAACATGGCGAGAATATTAGCCGGTCGAAGGTAGTTTATTAACCAAAGCTAATCTTTCTTCTTTCTGCTTCATTTCTGTTTTCAAGGTTGTTAGCTTTTTGTGTTGAGTGATTCTTGGTTTTATGTAGGAGATATTTTGGACATAAACCGACAATTAGGCCAAATGCGAAAAAGCTATACAAGTTGTTTATGAGCAAAGAGAATACTACTTGGGAGGAGTTTGCTTCAAGAGTCAGAACATTTCAGAGAGGATTCATGGGAGAGCCAAAGGAAGTAAGAGCCGGAAGAGGTGAGTTTCATGAGAATCCAGCAGCTTGTATATGCGAAGATACCGATGCTAAGGCAAAGGCAGGAAAGATGGATTCGAGAAAACTTGGGAAGAAAAACAAAAAAGATGATGAACAGAATGAAGATGAAGATGCAGAGTCGTCAGAGACAGATTATGAGGAAGACCAAACTGATTTACAGGACAGAGGATTGTATAATGGTACGAGGTTAGATTATGATGATGCATTATCTGTTTCAGAAGAGCCTGAGCTAGAAGAAATGCTATCAGATTGATTCAGTTAAAAGAAGGATTCAAAATCCACTTTTTATTGTGGTCATATACCTCATCAATATCTTCTGTACATAGAAATCCAATCCGAGAAAGAGTGACCCCTTTTTCCAGTTCATTTTCTTACTTTTTCCGACAAGAATTAGTCGTTGAGTCTGTTTAGTTCAAAGCAACTGAATATTGGTACCGAAAGAATCTGGGTGAATGATAGATAGATACATCATGATCCACAAAGATTGTGTCAAAAGTACATTGCTTCAAATACAATAGTGCCAACTTCTTTACCAAAAGATGGGTCGTGTCTGGGTCAGAGCAAAAGAGATGCTGAGTTTTTACTATATTCTTGGAAGGAAAGGCTTGACGGATTCGATGACGACCTAACATTTTATATACGCAACAGATAATAATCAGATGAATCCCCCCAAGCTCTTTAAATGAAGTTTAGGTTGATCTTGTGCGAGTATATCGGGTAGAGAAAGTTTACTTACTCTTCCGTCATATGATAATGATGCAAAAACCCAAGGCTCACGTGAACTCCAAGCAAGGCCTGTGTTTTAAGTAATGTTTAGTTTACAAGATAAAATGGTAATCGTAAGGTGTAAGAGATTTTACCATAGACACTGTCTTCATAGTCCGTGTATGAGTTAAGCAACGGGTTCACACGCTGTCGTGTGGATTCCACAGGACTGAGAAAGAGGGTAACAATGAAATCAAAACAGTGTTGGAAAAAAATGAAAATCATGGGTGCGAGGACGTTTAGGAGATTTGAAATAACCTTTCTGAGGTTTTGTCATCACTGGATGATGCTGAAGCAAACCACAGGTTGACAGCCGAATCTGTTCCAGCGCTCTGTATATTTACTTGAATGAATCAGAATTGACACAAATTATAAGTGTGCAAAGTTAAAGCAGAGGCTTTGTTTTTCTAAGCTAAACCGTAGCAAGTACCTAAAATAAAACTGCACATTTCAGCTAAAAACTGCGACTGCCATACATAGCTACCAAGTGGAACGATTTGATTGTGTTAAGAAGAACAAAGGAGAAAGAGAGTAGAGTACCAGAATCAGTCCATCATACTCAGGGTTACACTTGACAGCCCATGTCCTGCAAAATTTGACAAAAACATACAAAGGCACAAATTCAAGGATCAAGTTCTTGGTTCCTGTAAAAAAAAGTTTAAAAAAGGAAACAGAAGCAAACATACCAGTGTGTATGACCAGGAAGCTCTTGGACAGGAACCTTGGCCTTCCGGAGATCCCAGACATGTATGCCCGATTCATCCTCTGCAGTTACCTACATAACCGAATGTTTAATCTATCACAGCATAGATATGATAATACTTTTATGCTAAACCAAAGTTTGAGTTCCACAACAATTGAGTCAGCTCAATGCTCGGATATGCACAGCATATGTATCTAAAAATATAGAGTACTTCGTACTGTTTTGGAGGTACAAGAGAGGAGTCTTACAAGTATATGTTCTCTCTTGGGATTGTAATCAACACCGCGTACATGAGCATGTTCAATTGAGTTAACCTTCCTTTGTTGGACAAACAACATGGAGAAAGTCAACATATATAACATGGGTTCATGTGACGAGGTAAAACCAAAAGCAACTAACAGTAATTTGAAATCGAAACCCTCATGAGAGCATGTAATAACGTGTGTGATTAAAATCAATGCGTAAAACCTCCTAACTGCATGCAGGAACAGAGGAGAGCAACAGTGATACCATACTTCATAGTACGCAAGTCCCAGAACTGGACAGATGATTCACCAGTTGCTGCAACAGCATTTACATCATGAGGATCCCATGCTCCACCAGATAAAGAATGCAACATCCCAGCTGAATCCTTGGATAGAACCTATATAAACCGAAAACTGTTAACCGAAATACCCTACAAAAGATCTAAATACATGAGAGAAAAGCACAAAAAAAATTGAGGTTGTCGCAATATCCTCGTAGCCAAATCACCTCAGCAGACTTTTTCGAACAGTCTAAGCTCCACAAGAAAAGATTTTGTTCATCAATGCTGATTAACTTGTCACATCTTCCAGAAGGCCACCAAAGAACACTGTTTCCACAAGAGAGAGAGAAGTTGAGAATCAGCTTCAGTAAATGATTGAGGAAAAGGAAGAAATAAGTTCTTAACACTTTAACATCACTGTTAACAATAGACTGCTGAAACGTGTTGATCATAAACTCACCAATTAATCTTACCAACATGTGCATCAAGAGAAGCAACACGCTCCAATTGTGGAGAATTCAATTGACCATATAACTCAGGGATTTGCCAAATCGCTGCTCCAAATGATTCACCTTAACGGATAAACCATTATGAGTTTTTTTAGACACTCACGCTTTAAATCAATACAAAGACCAGAACTCCAAATTCTTGCAACTGATCAACTCAAGAAATGTGAATTTACCAGTGGAGAAGACAGTAGAGAAAATGCGTTGATCAAAAGGGCAAGAAGCAAGGTCCCAAATCTCATTAGGATGAGAGAACAAACCCTCGCATATAAGCTCAGATCCACCAGATGACAAACGAAGAAGATGAACCTTAAAAGTATCTCAAATGGTGGAGGTAAAAAAAAACAAAACTTTCTTCAGAATCTTCCCGATTAAAATTTAAAACAGAAGAAGAAATCACAATCAAGAAATGGGTTCACCTCATTTTCTTCTTTCAAACTTAAAGTTCCGGTGAGAAAGCTTGTGTAATCCGTATCTGCTTTCACATCCGATATACATCTAGCCTGAAAACAAATGAATTTCGTCTTTAAAGAATCTTACTAAGGAAAATTAAGGAAGATCTGAAGAGGAAGAAGATGATGAATCACCTGATACTTCAAACCGTATCCAATTCCCGACGATCCTCCTTGCATTGTCGCCTGAGCCGATGCACTGATTCCGGTAGAAGACGAGCTGAAGCAGCTGGCCGAGTAATTTGATTTTGCTGGTTTCGTGTTAGTGCTGATACTAATGGGCCTAACTTAATATATTCAGGCCCAATTAATTAAAAAGGTCTTATGTTACAATTTCACACTCAAGAGTCATATTCATGACAGTCTTGAGTCTTGTTGACTCTTGAGAAATTTTTCTTTTGGAAAATTTAGACTTGAACGTTTAATAGTAGAAGGGAAAAAAAATCATTGAGGAAGTAACTAGAATAATTAAAAATTACAACAGATCAAAGTAGTTCATAAACAAACTTCTAAAAAAATATCTCTAGTCAGGTTACTTAAAGGGGTTTTCAATGGAATCAGCCCAATTAGACTCCCATTAATGTCTATTAGGCCCAGTCATAGTTAGAGCGTTGTAACGTTGTTTGATCACCCAAAAAAAAGCATAAGATCACGAATCCATCATCAGGAAAAGAATGTTATCATTACGTTTGTTGCAACGTATTAGTAAAGAAAGACACAGAGACAAGGTACTTGAGGCTTTCATGATCTTATGACCGTTACTTAAAAATGATGTTTGTTTTTGTGAGTATTTTTTCGAAGCCTGGCAGTAAACATCAAAATTGACGACTATGAAATGTTTGTCAACCAAAAAGTAAGAAAATTGTGAAAAAGAAACTGAAAATAGGCCTGCCTTTTAAAACAACGACTATTTGTTAAACTCTTATCAGCTAATAGGTTGGTTAAAAATGAAATGTACATAAAACAGAAACTACAAACATAAGAAAACTCCTAACTACGAGATTATTAACCATTTCACTTACAAAAGTTGTACGATCATAAGTGTCTTTTTCTATTGATTTTGTCGAAAGTCCAATGCGTTTGTTCGTGTTCATGTAAGACTCTAAAGTTATCGTCGTTTTGTTAATATGGGTAATTCTTGAATGGAATAATGTTTAGTTGAATCGAATATAATACGCATGGGAATATCCTAATAAGAAAAGAAGTGATAAGATGACAAAATTTGAGGAGGTGGATCTCCACCATCCCCAAAAAAGAAACATTCCTCTCTTTTTGTTTCACCCAAATATATAGATAAAAAAAAATTCTTTTAAGAGATGGGCTGGTTTAGGAACTAAAGATCCTCGTGCATTCTTATATTGTGAAGTTTTCGCTTTTTTCTTCGTCTTATCTTCTCAAAAGCCCCAAACCCAAAAAGTTCCAACTCTCACTCTTAAGTTGAAGACCTAGGTTAAGAAGTGTGCAGATGCTCGGTCATGCTCAGTTTTATATAGTTGTTTAAGATAAATAGATAAATTTAGTGTAATTGACAAGAATTTAATGGTACGTAGTTATCAAAAAAAAAATCATGAGTTTTAGGGTTTTATAATTCTCCAGACTATCATTTTTTTTTATTTTTTTTTTGGTAAAATAATCCCCAGACTATCATTGAACGTAATTCCAATCATTCGTATAATAGAAGTTAGAACTTAGAAGAAACAAACTTTCGAACAACTTTTTGTGGAAAAATTATCCATCGTCGTCATCAGTAAATTGCTACAACTAGAACAAATACTGATTAAAAATGATATGTGTGTATATCTTCGTTAAAATTGTAAGTACAAACTGATATTTGCAGCTGATAAAGTCGTGAGTTTTGAGTTCTGATTAAAGGATTAAAATATGAGTTCGGTACCTACAACATGTGCATGTACTTTTACTCTTTTAGAGCATGATTTCGTTATAAATTATAATAATACTTTACGTTACTTTGAATCTCAAACCTTTTTTATTTTAACTTTTCACTTTTTAGCTTTAACTTTTTTACACCACGTCCTTTTCCACTTTCTATACTTCAATAATTTTCATAATTGAAAATTGCATAGTTCCTCCATTGCAAAAAAAAAATTATCATTTGAACGACAATAAACCAATGCAACGTTTCAATAAAACAATCAATGCAATGTTCATGGTGAAAAGAAAATTAAAATAGTTGCAACGTTTATAATACTAATTATGATTAATTAGGGTAATTTCAAGATTGAAGTTTGGTTGCACGTCCCTTCTACCACAAGAAAAAAGAAACGGCTATTATTCGTATAATCATTTGTGTGGAAGTGTCACCACTCTATATGAGCTTTTTCTTTTGAAAATGTAATGCGCTTTTACTAGTTTAAATTTGGCAAGATGCTAATTACAAATGTAATCCAAGCTCATTCAATGGAAAATAATGCATGCAAATCTAAATTCTATATTGAACTATATGGATTATAAGAGATACAGACTGGATAATGAAAATTAGAAGTTTATAACCAAACAATAATTAAGTGATAAAAAAAAGGAATTTATATCACATATTATGTGCCGTGCCAAGGTCCATTGAGGCTTAAGGCAAAATTTTAAAATGTGGCTTAAAATATTATATTTTTGAGAGAATTTTTTTTTTTAATGTAAAAACATAAGGAAATATTGCTTAATTTTTTAAAAAATCATGAATAAACAAGATTTAAGAGTTAATGAAAAGGAAAAACAAAAAAATATTTCCATAAATGTTAATGATTTAAGTTTTCTTTCCAAAACAAAAGTCCTAAAACACTATATAAAAATATATGTTTTGCTTAATTTAGGAAAAATGTGGCCTTCTATTTGTTTAAGTTTTGGTGGCCTTAGGCAAATGCCTTATTTCTTATACATTAGGCACGGCACTGAGTCATATGTTGAGTTGTTGACATGTGAAATTAAGTGATTATTTTTCAGTTTTAACCATGATAATTTTTCTCACCAAAAATAAAGACGTTATTTAGTGGGGATCCCGCCACAGCATTTGGGATCCTTTCGTCTTAAAATGTAACTCATTTGCTCTCTATTGTAATTCTGTCTCCAGTTCACCAATAATTAGTCATTCTAAATTAATTACACCTTACCTTAATCACGTAATTATTTCTCGTGATTTTTTTATATGTCAACAAATCCACGCTTTTGAAAACCACAACTTCCCCCACGACCGTTATGGGTTGCTCCCCCTCGAAGCTCGACGGTTTACCGGCCGTCTCTCTATGCCGTGACCGCTGCAACTCACTCGAAGATACTCTCCGGCGAAGCTACGCCTTAGCCGACGCTCACTCAGCTTATCTCCTCTCTCTAAACACCGTCGGTCCTGCTCTTCATAGATTCTTCCAACAAGCCGTCGAGTCTCCACCAAGTGTTGAATCCGAAGTCGACCAATCCCCGGAGACGTATTCGCCGGAATCCTGTTCCTCAGCTCACTCGGTTACCAGTTCAGATTCCGATTTGCCTCCCAAATTCGACTCCGATTGTGAGGAAGATGAAGGTACGAATTGCGATCTCTTAAGCTGTCCAAAACCTGAATCTCTAAATCTTAATCATGACTCGTTCTACTCCCGGAGATACGAATCCGGCACCGGAACACCGCCTCCACCGCCGCCGGCTCCGAGTAATTACGCTTGGGATTTCATCAATTTCTTCGAGAGCTATGAGCTTCCGTACACTACGAATCCCAAGGATTTCAAAGATAGAGAGACCACTCGTTCTCATGGAGAAGATAAGTTGACGAAGAAGAAGATTAATGTGGGCCAAAACGACGAAAAGATTAAAGTAGAAGAAGAGAAAAAAACTCTGAAAATCTCTGAGAAAAATAGGAAGAGTGCTCCTAAAGAATCAAAGAATCAGAAAGTTTCATCAGATTTCTCTGAAGTCACAAAGCAATTGCAGGAGATGTTCAAGAAAGCTTCAGAATCAGGGAATGAAGTTTCGAAGATGTTCGATACTTCAAGATTCAGATACTACCAGAAAAGCTCTGTTTATCAAGGTGATGGTCCTAAATGTTCGAGTTCTTCCTCCTTATTAATGTCACTCTCTATTTGTTTCTGATTCTGTTTTCGATATCAGATTCTTCAAACATTCTCTACGCGAAGAAGATGATGACTCCATTGAATCCCAAACCAGTGGAAGATTTTGGATTTAATTTCAATAATCTTTCATCTACTCTAAAGAAACTTTTCATGTGGGAGAAGAAACTATACCAAGAAGTAAAGGTATAATCCAAAATGCTGAATGGTTTGTAGCAAAACATAAAGTTTTTTTATGTTCCTCAAGACTTTTGATTTGTTATTTACTACAGGCTGAGGAGAAACTACGCACATCTCATATGAAGAACTACAAACAACTGAGGAGATTGGAAGCAAAAAGTGCAGATCAAAGCAAAATCGAAGATATTCGTTCTTCGATTCAGTGTTTGTCTACAAGAATGAGAGTCTCTATCCATAAGATAAACAACATTTGTCTGATGATAAACAAGTTTCGCGATGAAGAGCTCTGGTCCCAGATGAAAGAATTGATCCACAGGTACTAATTAAGGAACACTACCATTACCATAAGTTTTAAGATTTTGTTTGAGAAATCTCAGCTTGTTGTGTCTCAATATTTAGGCTGTCTGTGATGTGGAGCTCTATGCTAGAATGTCACAGTAGACAATTCCGAGTAATCGCAGAGGCTAAGAAGCTTGATAAGATGACAATAAAGGAGAATCTAGACTTATATCAGCTTGAGCTTGCCATGGAATTGAAACTGGAGTTGAGGAACTGGAGCCTAAGCTTGTCGAACTGGATAGATGCTCAGGCTCAGTATGTTAAAGCTTTGAACAATTGGCTAATGCGATGTTTGAGGCAGGAACCTCAAGAACCCACACCAGATCTCTCAGAAGAGCCACCATTGTTTGGTGCTATTAACAGTTGGTCACAAACCCTTGAGAGATCAGACGGAGAGAAGGAGTTTACAGAAGCGGTTTATACGCTCTTGATGCACGTAAACCATCAGGTGGAGAAACAGAGGATAGCATTGGAAGAGCAGAGGAATGCTAATGGCGGCATAAAGGATATAGAGAGGAAACTCGTGATGTTAGAGAAGGAAGAGCAGAAGATGCAGAGGAAGATGAAGACGGTACCATCTGTTGAATTCACGGGGAGTTTAAATCTGAAGTTTAACATAGAAGAGATTTTCAAATCTATGGAGAAATTAGCTACAAACTCGAAGCAGACTTATGAGGAACTTGACTTGATGTGCACGTAATGTACGGGTTTATTTTAGTTCTCATCAGTTCTGCTATCTATGTATTCTCTGTGTTCTTTGAAGAGTTTTTGAATTTGATTAAATTGAAATTTTTGATTATGGACATTCGACATTTCTATATGTATATACGCCTTTAGTGATCTTTAATAATAAGATATATGATATGACTCTGTGTTTAGTGTTTTAAAGGTGATGAATTCGACAAATTATTAAGCCAACAATACAATAATAAAGATCGAAGGATACCTTTATAAATAAATAATTTTTCCGTTAACTATTCAGATAATTACAAACAATGGCTGGCTTGGTTCATGCATGGTTTCTGATTATCCGATTATAATTTAAATTAAAATTTGTATTTTTGTTTTCTTTTGTAGACAATAATACCAGAGCAAATCCATAATGTAGCCTAATCTAGTGCCACTTACATAAACGGAAGGTTCCTAAATACCACTAACTTCAACTAGTTTGAATTTGTAACCTAAATGACCTGTTTCCAACACAAATGTCTTCACGTATGTACAAAAAAAGAAAACACCTCGCAGAGAAAAGAAAAAAACACACCTCAGGGTTCCTTCTACGCACTTTCCTCATTCTTCTCAGATCCATCTTCAACTCCAGCTCCAATTCAAACATTCCCTATTTATGGGCGTAACCCCAAGATTTCACAAAACCCTAATCACAAACCTCTCATCAAATTCTCATCAAGCAATATCCTTTTGAGGTTTCAATCGCATGGCGCTACTAGACTTGGAAGGTTTGAGAGAACTACAAGACTGCGCAAACTATCTTCTCGATCACTGTCCAGAAGCAAGAGAGTCTCTGTGCCAACAAGGGAAAGAGAACTGGATCGAGCAAGTCTCTGAAGCTTCACTAATAATGTTAGATGTCTGTAATGTGTCGAAAGATGTCATGGCACTCGTGAGACATGGCCTGCAAGATCTTCAACTGACTCTGCGTTGTAATGGATCAAACCTTACTGAAAAGATTGCAGCGTATAATCGGTATAGGAACAAGCTCAAGAAGGAAACGCTCAAGTGTTTAAATAGTCTAAAGAGTATTGAAGGAGGAGGGAGAGGGACGATGGAGATGCAGAGCATAGAGCAGAACCTTCTGTTTGTTGGTGAGGTTTTGAAAGAAGTGAGAAGAGCCGTTGTGACTATGGTTGAGTCTCTGTTCTCACTCGTATGTGCTCCTTGGCTCGAGAGAAAACCGAGCATAGGGTCATATTCTTCTATCTTTACGATGCAGTTTTGCTGCTTTGATGATGCGTGGGACGAAGTAGCGATGCAGAGCGCAAGTACAAGGTTGGAGGCTGCAGAGATCACTGTTGAGGAGCTTGAGATCGAGTTGGAGTGTATTTTCCGGCGACTGATTCAGACCAGAGTTTCACTTCTTAATATTCTTACAGCTAAGACATCTCCAGTTTGATTCCAGTTCTGGAAGACATACCTGTAAAAATTAGAGTTATAAGCAAATACAGAAATATTATCGTCTTACAAAGTCAAATACACATGTTAAAAGTAATCTCCTCACAGATTCTCTTTATTTCAACAGAATATTAGTGAATGTTTTATAAAACAAAAAGACACAGCAGTGGAAATACAGACATAACCTAGTGATAATCTCCAAGAGAAGGGCAAGAACACAAACTAGCCAAGAAGAAGGAAGTAACAGAAACCAAATCTTCAAATTACGAAACAGAGGAACAAAAAAGACTCGACAGAGTCTTATCAACTCTGTGCAGTGTGCATGATCAAGAACCTAAACTCATTATTAAACTAAACATAAGCATTCCCAAGGAGTTCATTGGAGAATAAAAACTGTGGCAATTATTCGATTACAACTACAAGTCAAATTTTTAAACCAAGTCTATTACGAAAGTCGATTTTGGAAGCTCGAATTGTATTGGGAGAAAGTAAAGCGTAGATCGAGAGATCGACGGTGGATGAGAGATCTCGGGATTACGAGATCGAGTTGAATATATTTCCTTATTATTATTGGGAAAGTTAACATTTGTGTATATCTTCTTATTGTTAAATAGGTAGATTTACCATTATCATAAATGTAAAGAACTTGCTATGCAAGTAATATCTTTGTATAAATAAGCCTATTGGCTAATGAATAAAATTGAGAGAAACTATTCTACAACTACGGTTTCCTCCAAACTTGTCATGGTATCAGAGCCAAGATCCTTTCTGTGATTATGGTTCCGTTACGTTAAGTTTGTCCTGTTTTGGTAGGACTATGTTTATTTTTGTAAGACACATATATATACATCCGCTGAGTATGATCAAAATCCAGGCACATATATACACTTGGGCGAAACACATATGTCGTCATTAGGGGTGTCAAAATGAGCTAGCTCGCTCAGCTCATTTATTAGATGAGCTTCAATATATAAACTCGGACTCAGATCATCTTGGCCGCGAGTTAAATGAGCTAGCTCGCGAGCTCATAACAAATAAATATAATAACAAAAATAATGTAAATTTTTTTTTAAAAAAAAGAAAATAAATCCAATAGCATAATTAATTCTAAAGTTAAATAATGGAAATAAATCCAAGAAAAAAATAACCTCAAAACACAAATTTTCTAATAGAATAATTCTATTTTTGTTTAATTTAAATGGAAAAAATATATATGCTTCTGTTGATATTTTGTATATATTTACAATATATATATATATATATATATATATATATATATATATATATTTGTAAAAAAAGCCGAGCTCATGAGCTAGCTCATGTTCATTAAAGCTCGCTCATATAACTCGCGATCTAAAAAAAGTTCGATCATATAACTCATTTATTAAATGAGCCTAAAAACAAAGCTCGTGCTCATGAAAAATCGAGCTGAGCTGAGCCAGCTCATGAGTTGCGAGCTCATTTTGACACCCCTAGTCGTCATAAACACTGCATATGCAATAGATAGTCATAGTAGACACTTAACAATCCACAAGTACTGCATTATTTATTAAATATCTAGTAAATAAAATCCACAAAATAACTGGTTTTAATTTATCTGATCCATGGACCTGTTCCCGCCAAAATATCCATCCAGGGCGAATCCGGCGGCAGCTCGTGAGTGATGTCTTCTAGATACGCGGGAGAGTTGAAATAAGTAACAGGGTCAATGTTTACGAACTTTTTCTCTCCAATCAAATCACCAAGGAGAGACAAGTGACCTGTATGCTCATTAAAGATTCTTCTAATGATAGCTTTACGTTCATCATGCTCACCAGCAGCAATACGAGCATTGGCCAATCCCTTAAAAGTTATGTAGACCACTGCAGTTTTGGCGTTGAGTCTCTCATTTGGGGACACCATATCTTCCTTGGTTTCTATCACCGCTTTCACAATCTTCAGCTTGGACAGATCGCTCTACAGCAGCAAAACCACACAGTTTTGGAACAACAAAAACCACAAGTTAATGATTACCAACAGTTGCACTGACTCACTCATGGTTTTGATATGCAGAAAAGAAAAACAAGACTTACATCTGAGATTCTGACCCTTTGAATTGCACAGAGTACAAGTTCCAAATACAGATTAATCCAATCATTGTTTTGCAATTCCGACTCCTTCACCTAAATGAACAAAATGTCACTGCTTAAAAAGAAGAGAACAAAAAAAAGCTGATGCAGTGTATCTTACCAAGTAAAATCGTTTTCTATCATTGAAAGAATCATGTGACGGCCACTGAGGCAATTTATCATCCACTGAAAAACTATCACAAGGTATGAGGCGCTCGTTGGTGGTCACACCTATGAAACATTATTATTAATCAGCAAGAGTGTCATTTTTATACTTGTAAAAAAAAGGAAAGAATGTTTACCTTTAGGTCTAGCAATCGGAATGATTATATTCAACTTGCCGACACTTTGTTCATTAACTAGAACCTGAAAACTTTGATGCGAACCGCTAACTGAATCATGTGCAAGCAAAGTGATGTAGTAAGGGGACAACAATGCCAGCCTCTTGTTGAATTTCATTACGTACCCGAGCTTGAAGTTTGTTCCCTGAGAAAGAAGATAAAATAGAATTGTGATCATGTATAAAGAAGAAGATGGAGGAGAAAACAAGTTCTTACCTCCAACATATTGAATCGATGAAGCCCTGCACTAGCATAAAGCTTGACCCAGAGAGGAAGAGGATGGAAACTATTAGGCAGTTGACAGTCGTAGGGTATCAGTGCAATGGCCCCTGGGGGTGCTTCGATTCCCTCGATATCGAAACACTAATTAAGGGAAACAAAAACTCACTTAGCAACAGAACAACACAAGAAGCTATGGGTGAATAAAGATCAGATCAAGGGTCAGGGTTAGGGGGTGACAGATCTAAAGGAACATCCTCTTCAACAAATCCTAAAATAAAACTAAAAATCTTCAAGGATAATACATACCTCGGATTCATCCAGTCGACGCCAGTAATCCCTAGACCCCGAAATCATGGTACGATCCATATTCTGCGGATGCTCTTTCTAATCGATTTAGGTTTTATATTTTATTTAGATTCTTCTCGTAAATTCATTTCTGGGCTTCTGTTGGGCCTTCTCAACCCTAAATCCTAATCTACTTAACATTTTTGAAGTACAAATTTGCTCCTTCCAATCGGGTCGGGTTTTTTTGTGATTTTGACCCGGAAATCTTCAATCGGATATTTCTTTATTTTTTGGCAAAATTAAAAAACGAAATTAATTAATAAATTCTAAAAATATATATATTTTTACAACTAATTATTACACCTAAACTCTTTATTTATGGCATATTCTTTCTGATTTTTATAGATAAGGAAACCAAATATGATGATTTAATGCTAATATAACAAATTTGAGCTAATTTCCTAAAACTTCTCTACCTAATTTAAACAAAAATATATGATTCTCATTTCACTTTTATTTGATTTATATTTATATTATTTTGAATTATTATAAAGTATATATAGTTAATAAATTTTAGTTTTTTTTTTCTGCATATGTTATGATTCAAATTTTTTAAAACAGACATATATTACTCAATCGATAAAGAAAAAAAGTATGTGTGTAATCTATATTAACATTTTTTAAGAACAAATTACACATTTAATCGGGTCGTTTTTTTATTCTGACCCGAAATTGTGTCATTCAGATCTTTTCTTAATTTCTACAATTATCTAAAACGGGACAGTATACCACGGGTGAGATCCTTTTTTTTTTTGTAAGCCCACGGGTGAGATCCTAAAATTAACAAATCAAAATACAATTATTTAGTATTTTAAGATACAATTATAAATTGTTTTTACGGGTTGGTCCAAAAACACATACTAATTTTTAAAAATATATATTATGGAAACTATTTGAAAGTAAACTTTTAAATTGACTCGAATTATATATCTTTTAAATAAAAGTGTTATTAAAAAAAATAACAAAATGATGTTTAATTCCACATGACAGGAGTATATGGTGGGACGGGTTTGTGTCGATATTAATACGGGACAATATACCACGGTTGAAATCCTAGAATTAAAAAATCAAAATTTAATTATACAATCTTAAACAGTAAACAAAACAAATACAACTTAAAATTTTTATTTTTTATATACAACGCATGTGACCCGCGATGTACAACAAAAAATATCATACACAACAAATTCATCAATTTATAAAAAAATAAAAAAAATCAAATAATTAACCCGCGGTGTACCGCGGGTCATATCCTAGTCTTATATTAACACCGGTGTCTGAGATTCACAAAATTCTCGAAAGATTGTTTGTTTGTTTGGTTTAATTATTGGGACAAACAAAAACACAATCGTGTCGTCGTCCATTACTTTGCTAAAATTCTTTAACTTTTTCATTACAAACACTGAAAAAAAACACTCAACAACAACAACATGCGTATTTTAACTGAAATGCTTCTTCTTCTTCTTCTTCTACTACTACTATGGGTTTTTGAAACAAGGGTTTTTAAAGGGACTTATTGAGAAGATTTTTAACGAAATAACAAATGTTTTCCGTATAGCATGGCTGCATGGATAAAAGTGTTGAGAGCATCGATAAAAGAAAACTAAAAAAGTGTATTAGGCAATGTTTTAATGGGCCTTGTACTGTGAATAAAATGGGCCCAGTTAAAAAAAGAAGAGTCCCACGTGTATTAGGCAATGTTTATATAAAATGGGCTCTCTTCTTCTTCATCTAAAACATAGGTTTTGCAGAGAAAATTTTCTGCAAATTTGGAATCTAAAAGTTAAGAAAAATTATCTTCTTCGAAAGGTGAATCTATTCCTCTGTCGTATCGTCTAAAAGCTGGTAATTTTTCTTTCTTCTCTTCAAATTTTCTATATTTCTTCATATTCTCACACCAATTTTTTTCTTAATAGAATTTGATTGGGGTAATTTGGTCAAATGATGGATAGGATCAATGGTCTATCAGATGAGATAATCTGCCACATTCTGTCTTTCCTTCCGACAAAAGAGTCTGCTTTAACATCTGTCCTGTCAAAACGATGGCGTAATCTGTTTGCCTTGACACCGAATCTGCATTTAGTTGATGATGATCTTGAAGTGGGTGGTTGTGGACAAAGTCTCATCGATTTTGTGGATAGAGTATTGGCTGTGTCAAGCAATTTGCCCATTAGGGAGTTTTCAATAAAATGTCGAAAGAGTATCGACTCGGGTCAAATCACATGGTGGATGATTGACTTGCTGAATCGTGGTGGTGTCGTAAATCTTGATATAGACGTAATCACTGCTCATAAAGAGGCGATTTTAGTGCCTGTTGAGATGTTCACTTGCAACAGGGAGATTCGAGGCTATGTTACCTGATGAGGATGTTTCTCTTCCATCACTTAAGACTCTGTTTCTTGACCGGATTTGTTTCTACAATACTGGTTTTTGTGTTTTGGGAAAGCTTCTTTCTGCGTCCCCTTTGCTTGAGGAATTAACCATTCTTTGTCCCAGCTGGCAATATGGGAGTTGCTGCCGCAATGTCTCCTCTTCCACACTAAAGAAACTTACCATTATCTCTGATCCTCAGCTTGAGTTTTGGGACTTGGTTTTTGATACTCCCAGTCTTACCTACTTAGAATACACTGGTTTAGTTCCAAGAGAGTATCCAACTTTGAATCTTGAATCCTTGTCGAAGCTAAGCTTGATCTTAGTTTATGTCGTGGTATTAGCAATCCAACAAATCTGATTATGGGGTTAACCAATGTTGAGGTCTTGGAGTTATCATCTGTTGATACTTCAAAGGTAAAGACATGATATCTTCTACATCTTGTTGTTACACATGAAAGCGTTTCTTGAGGCAATCCGGTTGATTTTTTTTTTTAATTTGTTTCAGATGTTCTATCATTTCCGGGAAGCAATCCCAGTGTTAGGCAACCTGTTTCGTTTATCTACTACCACTGATTTAACATTCTACAATTGGACGTAGTTTCCAATACTTCTAATGAGTTCTCCAAATCTACACACACTCGTCATCAAGGTATAACCGAAACCCCGCAAGTCTATTGGACAAACTCAAGTCTCTAATCTTCCCTCTTGGTTCAGGGTCCATTGCACGCTGATGAATGGGAACCGAAATATAGATTGTCATGTCCTGTGAAAGTATTGAAGATAACCGAGTATGGAGGAAAGAGAGGAGAGCTAAAGCGAATGAAACACTTACTAGAGAAGCTGTCATGTCTTGAGCTTGTCAAAGTTTGTGCTTGTGCAATAAACGACAATGAAAAGTCTCGAATCACCAAAGATCTGCTAATGGTTCCTAGATCGTTCAATTGCAACATCCAGGTCAAGTCTTCTGAGAAAACTAAGTAATGCATGATAAAAACAAAATTTGTTCCCTTCTAGTTGAATAATTAAGTCGGTTATTAGTTTGTGTGCACATTTGGTTTTAGTTGCTCTGTTTCTAGTGTTTTATCTTCGTTTCAAACGTGAATTGGAAGACAAATTTCTCAGTTTACAATACGTTCCAGTATGTTCCGATACCCAACACTACTGAGGACCATGCCTCTGTTGTTATCAGTAGTTACAAGCATTATAAGCACAAGGGCGGTTATTGCCGCTGCAATGATCATCCAGGACGACTCTAGTAAGTAACTTTCTCTAAATCCTTTTGTTCTTTAGTTATCAAAGCTCTTTTAATTGATCAAGATCTTGAACCATCCGTGTCTGAATACCTCTTACTTTGACAGGTTATGGTCCTTGTACAGTTTAATGTAGAATTTGATAAGTTATGGTATTAAGATTACATGAATCTGTTCATTTACATAATCCCTCTAGCAACAAAGTGAACAAGTAAAGGAAGAAGCTATATGGTCGGGATTATATTAAGCAATCTCTTAGGGAGGGAAAACAGCGAGTTCATTTGTTGGGTAAGACAGGCAGAAGCATGACAAGACTGAAAAACACCAGAAAACGGTCCTTGGAGTCTCTTCTGTGAGGTCGAGCTCGGTAGGGAACGTCATGAGAGTGAGCAGGTTGGCCAGAATATTGGATAGTAAGGTCAGTTGGCTTTGTCGAGTCGTATTTTCATATGATATAAACATCATCTTCTTCTTATTGTCAAGCAACTCAAAACGAATCTCTTCTTTCCAGTAAATATTCCAAATGAGGGTGATTAGTCTTCGAGAAGCTTAGTTTGACAGGCTTCAGCAGAGAAAGACAAGTGTATTGGCCGAGTAATTTGAGGAAGAAAGAAGAAAACAGATATATTTGTTTTAAAATTTGAAGAGGAAAGAATATCTAAGCTTTAGGAAAAAGAGGAAGAAAAACATTCAAGTAACAACATGAGGATTTCAACTGATGCAATGAAAGGAACAGAAAACATGAGTTTCAGCAGAATTCAAGTCAGTTTGGTTTGCAGGAATAGCGATGAATGTGTAGTTTTTTCTCTTTTCTTTTTGACAACAAACTCTATTTAAATTGCAAACTTGGAGCACTTGTGACAGTTTTGGTAGCTCAATTGATAGTGGTTGTAGTTCAAATGAGTCTTACTATACTCCTATAGACGATATATTCCATCATTTAACACTATTGACAATTATGAGGCGCAAGAGCAACCAAAGCAGTTGAAATTACCGTGTCAGAGCAAAGGAAAGGTTTAACACTCTCACTGAGAAACGTGACTCCGATACGAAATCTGAAACCAAACGGTAGCGTTTCACGTAACAAACAAAAGCACAAACATTGGAAAAAACATTCAAGTACCAACATGAGTATTTTAACTGATGCAATAAAGGGAACAGAAAACATGAGTTAAGAGGGAGCGATGATGTAGCAACATGTTTAGTTTTTTTCTTTATCCCGTACTCCTTGGTTCAACATGACCTCTCTATGATCCTTGGATTAGGACACGTGTGGGTTTAATGCAGCCTTGTCTCATGGGAAACCTGCAAGAAAATAACAGTTTCAATAACAAGAGATCGAGGTTTTAAAAAGACAGAAGAAAATGAGCTTAGTTGGGTTGTTTCTTCTACTTACTTGATTTGGTCATGATTGCCACCACAAGCTGCATTAGTTATCTGGAACTCACCGATCTGAAGCTGAGTAAGGCCTGCTTGAATCACTTCCTGCACAACAAAATTTCCAGTGTAAATACAAATGAGAAAGCGACTACTTCTTGTTCTATTAAAAGAAGATCCGGGTTTTCGACATTGTTATCTGTTAATGTTGAGTAACTCACTTCAACTGTAATGTTAGAGATAGCCCAGCAAGTTTCCTTCTTGATGCTCTTCTTGTATGTGTTTTTCAAAAGACCAGACAGCGCCTGTTATGGAGAAAACAGAGATAATATTCCGAGTACACATCAAACCTATAGGAGATAGAATATTTTGGTATATTTAAGGCAGACAGTTAGGGATAGTATTAGTACCTGAGTCTGCATATCATCTCCGGTAACAATATTACCAATATCAAGGAGGAGAGCTGGAATCAGAACCGAGGGCGAGGGATGATGTGCAGACTCAGGTACAACTGCTTTTGTCTGCTCAACAAATGCAATGAAACAGTCTCAGATCAATGCAATAAACGGTATAAGTAAGAAAACAAACTTGAAACATAACCAATTGGTTTATATGGCTGAAAGGAAACCTGCCTGCTCAAATGCTGGTTGCGGCTTCCCTCTGCAGAAATTTGATAATGTCCATGCACCATTCCTCAGCATAGAGTGCTCATTGAATTGGCCCATAAGAGGCATCAAGGCCTTGCAAACATGTTCAAGGCATTTTGAGGAGTCACCAGCGACGTATCCCAATGCCAAGACAGCCTGTAATCAGGAGAAAGCATAGCAATCAGGATGCTAGATTAGTCCAGACTGACAGTTTCTTTTGCCAAAACAATATACAAAAAATCGAAAATGAACCTGTTCCCGGACTTCCTCACTGGAATAACTGAGAAGTTTGGCGAATAAAGGAATAGCACCGCTATCAGTAATGGCTTTAGTCTCCTCAGATGCCCCTGAAGCGATATTGGTGAGCGCCCAAGCTGCCTCAAACTATAATAGAACAAGAAGAAGCAAACATCACATACATTATACTGATCTCTTTTGAGATTGGGGATTTTTTAGATGTAACTTACCACCACATTTGATTGTGAGTAACCTTTCCCTGCTATTCTTTGCCTTTTCCTAACTTCTTCACCTTTCCCTGCCTTCTCTGGTAGTCTTGGTCTTTTCCGATCTTCTTTCTCTTCTTCCTCGTCTTTCTCATCATCACGCTTTATCTGGGGTTTCCATTGTTGTCTTCCATTTTCATTACAGATTATCATTGAGAAATTTGAGAGAAGATGGGTGGGGTGGGATTAATTCCAGCGTTGGAAGGAGCACCAACAACCATAAAGACCACGGAGAGTGAAACTTTAACGTATCCACTAGCTTCCGCAGCCAGCCCATTGTTTTGCCTGCAAATAGCAAATCTCAATCCGTTCTGATATCCAACAGCCATGATTGTGACGGCGTGATAACCACAGAAAAGAGAGTCTCTTGTGGTCGGACCGATGTACATCTCATTCTCAATATATGCTAGCTTAGGAAAAACAATCAGGTACGTGGCTATGGGGCGAAGATGTAGGAAATTTAGAGCCTCTCCCAGAGTATCTATTTGTACAACCTGTCTAATTCTGCTATCTATCGAGAGGCTCTAAATTTCCTACATCTTCGCCCCTAACCACTTAGCAACATGTTATATAGCATGTACCATTTCGTCTTCTGGTCGCCAAAAGAGTAGTGATAGTCCACCCCCATTGTTATTCAACAAATACGTACGAGCAGGCATAGCATCTACTTGCTCCAGGATATGATCCATAAAGTGAGCGATTACTGGACGTTCAATTACGCAGAACCCCGTGTTCACCAGGGATTGCTGAACGAACCATGGAAGTCTCCTCAGATCAATCGGCGGTGGTAAATCGTAGTTCATATCTCGTAGAAAACAGTGAAGTGACAGCCGCCGCTGTATAATAGGGTTTTCGACAGATGCCCGATAATTTGATTTTGCTGGCTTCGTGTTAGTGATGATACTAATGGGCCTAACTTAATATATTCAGGCCCAATTTCACAAACTAGTCAAGAGTCATTTTTTATTTTTTTCGTCAACTAGTCAAGAGTCATTTACACAATCGAATTTCTATAAACTCACTTACTCACTACTCACTAGTCACTAGTATAAATGGTTACAAAAAGGGTCAATGGAACTAGCCCAAATAGAGTCCCATATTCCATATCCATAGATGTCTATTAGGCCCGGTCAGTGGCGGATCCACGGCATACGTAGGGTGGGCAAGTGCCCTATACTCTTTTATTTTTTCAAGTAATTTTGTTATACACTACAATAGTCCACGTTAACAATACAAAGAAAACAACATTAAAAATGCCATATTAACCAAGTAAAAAAAAATGTGTACTCAGCCCACATAAATGCTAACAAGTAAGAACGTTAGTTATGAGATATTATAATATGAGGTGTCGTTGGGCTAAACAAATTTTAAACGATTGCTTAGTTTATTTTGTTAAAACATAATATTGTCATATGAGATAGTAATGAAAATATTTCAAAATATAAAAGAAAGTAAGATAAATTTGAAAAAAAAAAATTATATACTGATGTAAAAAATATTGTGCCCCGGGTTAAAATATGTTCTGGATCCGCCCCTGGGCCCGGTCATGGTTAGAACGTTGTAACGTTGTTTGATCACCCAAAAATAGCATAAAATCATGAATCAAACACCCGAAAAAGAATGTTATCATTACGAATTTGTTAACGACGTCTTAGTAAAGCCACAGAGACAAGGTACGTGATGCTTTCATGATTTTATGACCGTTACTTAACAATGATATTTGTTTTTTGAGTATTTTTGCGAACCCATGCAATGCAAGTAACATTAGACTTGACGACTACTACGAAATGTTTGTCAACCAAAAGTAAAAAAAAAATATGAAAAAAACTGACAATAGCATTTAAAAATCTCCACAGGCCAAAGCCATAAAACTACGACTATTAGTTAAAATCTACAATAAGTTGGTTAACATTGAAATGTAAAACAGAAAGTACAAATATAAGAAAACTCCTAACTACGAGATTATTAACCATTTCTCTTACAAAAGTTGTACGATAACTCGATAAGTGACTCTTTCTATTGATTTTGTCGAAACCCCAATGTGTATGTTCATGTAAGACTCTAAACTTATCGTCGTTTTGTTAATATGGGTATATTCTTGAATGAAATAATGTTTAGTTGAACTGAATTTAATACGCATGGGAATATCCTATAATAAGTTTACAAAAGTAGTGATAAGATGACAAAATATGAGAAGGTGGATCTCCACCATCCCCGAAAAATAAACATTCCTTTCTTTTTTGCTTCACCCAAAAATATTGATAAATTTTTCTTCTATTAGGAACTAATTAAAGATCCTCGTGTATTCTTATATATTGAAGTTTTCGCTTTTTTCGTCTTATCTTCTCAAAAGCCTCAAACCCAAAAAGTTCCAACTCTCACTCTTTAGTTGAGAACTTTTAAGTTAAGACGTGTGCAGACGCTCGTTCATGGTACTTATATAAAACAAAATCATGTCTTTAGTAGGGTTTTGTGGAAACTGTATTCATGGTGATCAGTAAATTGCTACAACTAGAACATACTACTGATTAAAATTGAGTTTTGTGTATATCTTCATTAAAGTTGCAATATATGTTGAAAGTACGTAGAAACTGATATTTTCTGTATGGTTGGAGATGGCTTTGTTGGTATAATATATAGGTGCATGTGAGTAAACTATAAAACTAGTATATATGTTTTGTTTTCTATCTCTGGATTTAATTTGCTAGAATACTACAAAAGAATTAAAGCAATATATTCATGACCCAAAAAATAAAATAAAATGTATCGCATATGTTGAGTTGTTGACAATGAGTTAGAAGTGTGTATACACATGAACAATAAAATGAGAAGTGTACTGAGAAGTATCTTAAGTTGAATAAACTAGGAAGATATGAGATATGATCATCAGTGTGGTAATGTATGGATTAATATCTCGAGTTATTGACAAAACTTCATTTTACTTATGTTTGAAGCTAATCGTGAGTTTTGAGTTCTGAAAAAAAAGGGATTAAAATATGAGTTTGGTACCTACAACATGTGCATGTACTTTTAGAGCATGATTTCGTTATAAATGTTTTTAATCTTTACGTTACTTTGAATCTCAAACCTTTTTAGCTTTAACTTTTTCACACCACGTCTTTTTCCACTTTCTATGCTTCAATGATTCACAGAGTAGAAAAATTTCATGGTTCCTTGCAAACTTCATTTTATCAATGCAAACGTTTCAAAAGAACAAGAAAACAATCAATGCAATGTTCATCGTGAATATAAAAAATTAGATAGTTGCAACGTTTATAGTAGTACTAATTAGTAATTATGATTACTAGTTTCCAAATTGAAGTTTGGTTGCATGTCCCTTCCTAAAAAATAAAAAGAAACGGCTCTCTTATTCGTATCATAATCATTTATTCATATGTGAAAGGTTGTCAGTACTCTATGAATTTTCCTTTTGAAATGTAATTGCGCTTTTACTGTTATAAATTTGGTAAAATGTGAAATTAAGTGATCATTTTTTAGTTTTTAATGATACCTTACCTTAATCACGTAATCACTTTTATATGACAACAAATCCAAGCGTTTGAAAAAAACACAAACTCTCCAACGACCGTTATGGGTTGCTCCCCCTCCAAGCTCGATGGTCTACCGGCCGTCTCTCTATGCCGTGACCGCTGCAGCTCACTATTGAGGAGATTGGAAGCAAAAAGTGCAGATCTAAGCAAAGTTGAAGTTATTCGTTCTTCGGGTTCAGTGTTTGTCTACAAGAATGAGAGTCTCTATCCATAAGATAAAGAATTGAGTGATTGAGTGTTACGCGATGAAGAGCTTTGGTCCCAAATGAAAGAGTTGATCCACAGGTACTAAGGACATTACCATAAGAATTTTGTTTGAGAAATCTCATGAGTTAACTCAGCTTGTTGTGTCTCAATATTTAGGTTGTCTGTGATGTGGAGCTCTATGCTAGAATGTCACAGCAAACAATCTAAAGTAATTGCAGAGGCTAAGAAGCTTGATAAGATGACAATAAAGGAGAATCTAGACTTGTCTCAGCTTGAGCTTGCCATGGAATTGAAACTCGAGTTGAGGAACTGGAGCCTAAGTCTGTCCAACTGGATAGATGCTCAGGATCAGTATATTAAAGCCTTGAACAGTTAATGCGATGTTTGAAGCAAGAACCTCAAGAACCAACACCAGATCTCTCAGAAGAGCCACCATTGTTTGGTGCTATTAACACTTGGTCACAAACCCTTGAGAGATCAGCTGGAGAAAAGGAGTTTACGGAAGCGGTTTACACGATTTTGATGCACGTAAACCATCAGGTAGAGAAACGGAGGATGGAATTGGAAGAGCAGAGGAATGTTAATGGCAGCGTAAAGGATATAGAGAGAAAGCTTATGATGTTAGAAAAGGAAGATCAGAAGATGCAGAGGAAGATGAACACGGTACAGTCTGTTGAATTAGTGGGGAGTTTAAATCTGAAGTCTAACATAGAACAGATTTTCAAATCTATGGAGAAATTAGCTACAAACTCGAAGAAGACTTACGAGGAACTTGACTTGGAGTGCACGTAATGTACCGGTTTGTTTTAGTTCTCATCAGTTCTGCTATCTATCATGTATTCTCTGTGTTCTTGAAAGAGTTTTGAATTTAACTAAATTGAAAATTTTGATTATGGACATTCCACATATATCTATAATCTATATGTATACCCCTTTAGTGATCTTTAACAATAAGATAGTACATTCCAATCATGAATATTCAATACATATATGATATGACTCTGTGTTTAGTGTTTAACAGGTGATGAATTCGACAAATTATTAAACCAACAATACAAAAATAAAATTCTGGAACATTTCAGATATAAATAAATAATTCTTCCGTTTTGTTCAGATAATACAAACACTGGCTGGCTTGGTTCATGCATGGTTTGTGATAAAGGTATCCGATTATAATTTAAATTAACATCGAAGCAAATCCATAATGTGGCCCTAATCTATTGCCACTTACATAAATGGAAGGTTCCTAAATACCACTAACTTCAACTAGTTTGAATTTGTAAACTAAATGACCTGTTTCCAACACTAATGTCTTCACGTATGTACAAAAAAAAAAAACAACTCGCAAAGAAAAGAAAAAAACTAACCTCGGGGTTCCTTCTTCGTACTTTCCTCATTCTCCTCAGATCCATCTTCAACTCCAATTGAAACAATCCCTATTTATGGGCGTAACCCCAAGATTTCACTAAACCCTAATCACAAATCTCTCATCAAGCAATACCCTTTTGAGGTTTCAGTCGAATGGCGCTACTGGACTTGGAAGGTTTGAGAGAACTACAAGACTGCGCAAACTATCTTCTCGATCACTGTCCAGAAGCAAGAGAGTCTCTGTGCCAACAAGGGAAAGAGAACTGGATCGAGCAAGTCTCTGAAGCTTCACTAATAATGTTAGATGTCTGTAATGTGTCGAAAGATGTCATGGCACTCGTGAGACATGGCCTGCAAGATCTTCAACTGACTCTGCGTTGTAATGGATCAAACCTTACTGAAAAGATTGCAGCGTATAATCGGTATAGGAACAAGCTCAAGAAGGAAACACTCAAGTGTTTAAATAGTCTAAAGAGTATTGAAGGAGGAAGAGGGATGATGGAGATGATGGAGATGCAGAGCATAGAGCAGAACCTTCTGTTTGTTGCTGAGGTTTTGAGAGAAGTGAGAAGAGCTATTGTGACTATGGTTGACTCTCTGTTCTCGCTCGTGTGTGTTCCTTGGCTCGAGAGAAAACCGAGCATAGGGTCATATTCTTCTATCTTTACGATGCAGTTTTGCTGCTTTGATGATGCGTGGGACGAAGTAGCGATGCAGAGCGCAAGTACAAGGTTGGAGGCTGCAGAGATCACTGTTGAGGAGCTTGAGATCGAGTTGGAGTGTATTTTCCGGCGACTGATTCAGACCAGAGTTTCACTTCTTAATATTCTTACAGCTAATAAGACGTCTCCGGTTTGATTCCACTTCTGGAAGACAGCAAACAGATATATACCTGTAAAAAATAGAATTATAAGCAAATACAGAAATATTATCATCTTACAAAGTCAATTACACATATTAGAAGTAATTTCCTCACAGTTTCTCTTTATTTCGACAGACAGAAACACCTGAGAAGAAAACGAGATAACCCGATAATTTTCGCCATAATCTCCACATACACGCATTTGATGCAGCCTGACGAAAATAAGAAACAGAGCAGTCTCAAGAGATTTAACAAAATTGATCAAATTTTAGCAAAGACGATAAGGAGGTTGCACACATGGTAATAGAAACTATGGCACTGACAAAAAAATCCCTCATAGATTAGGAGGAAAACAATTCAAAGTCTTACAAGACCAAAGGGCACCAAAACCTTTACTATAGCTTTTCTGGTGAGTTCTACCTGAGGGGGTTTGTGGGGTTGGTTGCTAAAGATGAGTCTCCTCTATGATGTATAAAGAGAATGAATCAAAAGAAACGAAACTCGGATACAAAATGTTACAAAACAAAAAGACACAGTATCGATATACAATCATTTTTAGTGATGATCAAGAACACAATTTAGAAATAGAAATCAAACCCTCAAATTACGAAACAAAGGAACAAAAACAAAATCAACAGAGTCTTACCAATACTACAGGGCCAAAACCTGAAATCATCAAAGATTCATTATTAAGGAAATAAAATCATTTAGGAGTTCATGAGAGACTAAAAGATGTGTGATTGCTTCTAATCTTGATTCAATTCCTCTTCGTCTTCCGCCGGTTAAACAACTTATCATCCCACCGGGTAATTCAGTTCAAACATGCGAGTATGTGACAATCGACTCGGGTTTTAATGGGCTTTTAACACAAAGCCCATTAGAATTTAAAAGGGCTCCACCCAAGTCATTTTCAATGTAGTTAAATAAAAAAAACGCATAATTTTCACGTGCCGTCGTCAACAACGACCTGGAATGGAAATATCGCGGAACAAGAACACGAACGTGTTCCTCGTCTGCTTTTAAACTTCTTAATTCTTATAAAAGTCAAACTTATCTTGTCAGCCATAAATTAGTCAAGTTACAGAGAAACAAAATCCAGATAGATTCTAATCAACAACACATCTCAAGAAAAAAGATGGCTTCAGTGAATTCTCGAAGTGGTTTCTGTAACTCAAACTCAACATTCTACAGCAAACGAACACCAATACCACTCCCGCCAAACCCATCACTCGACGTCACTACTTTCATATCTTCACAAGCTCATCGCGGACGTATCGCCTTCATCGACGCTTCCACAGGTCAAAACCTCACCTTCTCCGAGTTATGGCGTGCCGTGGAATCCGTCGCCGATTGTCTCTCCAACATGGGGATTCGCAAAGGCCACGTCGTCCTCCTCCTCTCTCCAAACTCAATTTTATTCCCCGTCGTTTGTCTCTCCGTCATGTCACTCGGCGCAATCATCACCACCACGAATCCTCTCAACACTCCAAACGAAATCGCTAAACAGATTAAGGACTCAAATCCAGTCCTCGCCTTCACCACCTCGCAGCTCCTCCCGAAAATCGCCGCCGCAGCAGCAAAGCTCCCTATCGTGCTCATGGACGAGGAACGAGTTGACTCAGTGGGAAAAGTGAGAAGATTGGTGGAGATGATGAAGAAGAAACCGAGTGGGAACCGAGTCAAGGAGCAAGTTGACCAGGATGATACGGCGACTTTGCTTTACTCTTCAGGAACCACGGGAATGAGCAAAGGAGTGATCTCGTCTCACCGTAACTTAATCGCGATGGTTCAAACCATCGTGAATCGATTTGGATCTGATGATGGATCACAAGGAGAGCAACGATTCATCTGCACCGTTCCTATGTTTCATATCTACGGCTTAGCTGCGTTCGCTACTGGATTACTCGCTTACGGATCTACGATCATCGTTCTCTCCAAATTCGAGATGCACGAGATGATGTCATCGATTGGTAAGTATCAAGCCACGTGTTTGCCTCTCGTGCCTCCGATTCTTGTGGCGATGGTCAACGGTGCAGATCAGATTAAGGCTAAGTATGATTTGAGCTCTCTGCATACGGTTTTATGCGGCGGAGCTCCGTTGAGTAAGGAAGTGACTGAAGGATTCGCGGAGAAGTATCCGACGGTTAAGATTTTGCAAGGTTATGGGTTGACTGAGTCAACGGGTATAGGAGCTTCTACGGATACTGTTGAGGAAAGTCGGAGATACGGTACCGCCGGGAAATTGTCGGCAAGTATGGAAGGGAGGATTGTGGATCCGGTTACTGGTCAGATTCTTGGACCGAACCAAACCGGTGAGCTTTGGCTTAAGGGTCCTTCCATAATGAAAGGTACATTTTAATCATCTCTGATTTGAGTATCGTTCTTGATGACAGAAATCATCAAAGCAGGAATTTTTCTTACGAATTTTGGTTGTTCTTGGCAGGTTATTTCAGCAATGAGGAAGCTACGAGTTCGACTCTTGATTCTGAGGAATGGTTAAGAACTGGAGATCTTTGTTATATCGATGAAGATGGATTCATATTCGTTGTTGATCGGTTAAAGGAACTGATCAAGTACAAGGGTTACCAGGTAAAATATACAACACATTTAAACATGGTCTAGCATGAGAGAATGCTGATGAATCAAATCATCTTTTGTGAACTGATGATTTTAGTTATGAGTTTCGTTTGACTAAATTACTAGAAACCTGACCTCCTTCGTTCCTTTGAACTAATAAGTATATCTCTGAGTCTTGATAGGATGATTGTGTGTGTATGATAAGCTTGTTGAGATGGATATGGAATATATTTGAACATCACTCTTTTATCTTACTGACTTTGCATATCAGAGAAGAATTGGCTCGATCTGTAGCAAAGAGATGAAATTGTGCTAAACTAAACTTATTTTGGTGATTATTGCATAGGTTGCTCCAGCTGAGCTAGAGGCTTTGCTGCTCACTCATCCTGAAATCACTGATGCCGCAGTGATCCCGTAAGTCACAACAACACTCGTCGTTTTTGTACCAGAAACAGTATGAGTTTTTAATGTTTTGGTGATTTGCAGGTTTCCGGACAAAGAAGTGGGGCAATTTCCAATGGCATACGTCGTAAGGAAAACTGGGAGCAGTTTATCAGAGAAGTCGATAATGGAGTTTGTGGCGAAACAAGTAGCACCATACAAGAGGATACGAAAAGTTGCTTTCGTATCTTCCATACCAAAGAACCCTTCAGGAAAGATTCTACGCAAGGATCTTATCAAGCTAGCAACTTCCAACTCCAAGCTTTGAAATTGTTATGAGAGCCAATCTCCATGTATTATTATTTTTTGTGCTGTATACCTGTAGTAAATCTGTTACCATTGTGGGAAAACAAAAATCAAAAATCAATTTGCATCATGTTGAAATATGACCTTGTGGTCTCAAAACACAGAAGATTACACATAAATAATGTGGAGACCATTCATTATATAGTTTATGTAAAGAGTTCAAAACATGTTTATGATCAAATATTGGATCAGGGCCAAATTTTAAGACAGATTCATTTAGCCAAAGCTAAAAACATGGATACTGCACCAGCTATATTTCTTACACCATTTAACAAATTTCCTATAGTATATGATGTACCTGATTTATTGTCAGGGAATTCCTGGATTTGTCTGGCAGTTTCACGTTTGTCGTATGGACATAGTGTAGTTTGGTAATGAAACTTCTTTAACATGGAAAAATAAATAAACCGGAACTACACTTCGATCCTAAGAGGTCGTGGCGCATTTAGGCTTATATATCCATAACCTTGGAACAGCTATAGTCTCTCTATGGATCTGCTCTTTTTTCCACTTAAACTAATGCTTTCAAATGCTTTAAGAACCTGAATTTCAGACTGTCTTAAAAATCTCAGAGCTGCATCATCCATTCTGAAGAAAATGGCGGATTCCGAAAGATCATCGTCATCGCTGATCAATCCTAGAAATGGTTTCTGTGTTGCAAACTCAACATTGTACAGTAAACGCAACCCATTGCAACTTCCAGCGAACAGCTCGCTTGACGTCACAACATTTATGTCCTCTCAAGCTCATTGTGGCACTACTGCCTTCATCGACGCGGCCACAGGTCACAGTATAAGCTTCTCCGATTTCTGGAGAGCCATTGATAGTGTCGCTGACTGTCTCCACCACGACATTGGCATAAGGAGAGGTGACGTCGTAATAATCCTCGCCCCTAACTCCATCTCCATCCCCGTCGTTAGCCTCGCCGTCATGTCCCTAGGGGCCGTCATAACCACCGCGAATCCTCTCAACACTGCCAGTGAGATCTCTAGACAGATTGCAGACAGCAAGCCAAAGCTGGCCTTCACAACTCCTGAGCTAGCCCCCAAACTCGCCGCCTCCGCCGATATCTCTGTTGTCTTGACGGGGGACGAGGAGGAAGAGCGCGTGAGATCCACTAGTGGAGTCAGGGTCGTTGGGGTTTTAAGTGAGATGATGAAAAAGGAACAGAGTGGTCCGCGAGTCAGGGACCGAGTTAACCAAGACGAAAAAGCGATGCTGCTTTACTCGTCGGGAACCACAGGAAGAAGCAAAGGAGTGGATTCGTCTCACAGAAACTTAATCTCGCACATAGCAAGATACATCGCCGAGCCATTTGAGCCAAATCAGACTTTCCTCTGCACCGTTCCGATGTTCCACACCTATGGATTACTGATCTGCGCCATGGCCACCGTAGCATTGGGTTCTACGGTGGTAATTCTCCGAAAGTTTGATCTCCACGATATGTTGGCGGCAATCGAGAAATACAGAGCCACGACTCTGGTTTTGGCGCCGCCGATTCTGGTAGCTATGATCAACGGCTCAGATATTATCAAGGCCAAGTACAATTTGACCTCCCTGAAAACGGTTAGATCCGGTGGAGCCCCGTTGAGCAAGGAGGTTACGGAGAGTTTTTTTGAAAAATATCCAACGGTTGATATTTTTCAAGCGTACGCTTTAACGGAATCAAACAGCGCGGGAGCTTCCATAGATTCCGTGGAGGAAAGTCGGAGATACGGTGCCGTTGGGAAGTTGTCGTCTGGCGTGGAAGCGACGATTGTAGATACGGGTTCGGGTCGGATCTTGGGTGAGAACCAAACGGGCGAGCTTTGGCTCAAAAGTCCCTCCATTGCAAAAGGTACCGTGACCCCTAAGTAATTCAAATCAAATGTTTTCAAAATTAATCTGATAATTTTTTTTTGTTTAAAAGGTTATTTTAGAAACGAAGAAGCTACAAAAGAAGCTTTTAATTCAGAAGGATGGCTTAAAACTGGAGATCTCTGCTACATCGACCATGATGGATTTCTTTTTGTTGTGGATCGATTGAAAGAGCTATAAGAGAACCTCCCATTGGAGGTGCTCTTCTATATTTTGATGAGTTCTCATCTGATTTTGGGAAAAAAATAATTCAAAACTGAATAAAGATGATAGAATCGATTCTCCTGAGAGAGTTTTGAGATTTTGAGAGAGCCGGACACGTGTAAGTTTTCGATTGGAGGAGTGTTTTAACAAAAGAAAAAAAAAACACGCGTGTAGATTCTCTCTTCTTCGATTTTTTTTTTCCGACTCTCTCTCTCTATTTAGCGGCGATGGTGATAGAACATGAAATATCTCCGATGATTCCGTTGATTGAGAGTAAAATTAAGTGTCAAATTGTGGTTTCTGAGAGTTGGTTCCGCCGGATTTGTCATCTCCACAGCCGCTGCTCCTGGTATGATTGTTGGAAATCTGATTGTTGTTCGTGAATTTCGAATTCGATCATGGTGAATTTTGCTGTTTGATTTAGATTTTTGATTGGATTTCAATTCGGGTTCTTCGTTAGGATCTGCGTTAAGGCTAGTTTTCAATTCTATGTTATGGATATGGAATTAAAGATGTTAAGAGAGTTCGAGTGTTTTTTTGTGCTTTAGTGTTTGACTTCTTACAAAGAAGATGATCGTGATTGAGTTTAGCTTTTGGTATTATAATCTATTCCGATGTTTTTGGTCGTATGAATGAGTATTACATCATTGTCCATACTCCTCTAATTAAATAATAAAATTGTTGCTTGGATTGAGCTAAATCACTATCTCATCTATGAATGTGTCTAAGTCTGATTCTTGAATATAATTAAAATTCTTTTTAATGTCATTGAATGTTTCTGCGGGTTTTTGTTTTGTTTCAGATTCAAACTGTCAATGACATGTACAAATTCTTGCAAGAGTATAACTCGAGCTTGCAGCTGTACAATAGCAAACTCCAAGGTGATCTCACTGAAGCTCATGAAGATATAAAGCGAGGAGAGAAAGAACGGACGGGCATTGTAGAGAGTATTGGTAACTTTAAAGGCTGAGTTTAAAGCACTGCAAGATCAGCTTGTTGCCTCTGAAAATGTTCTTGTTTCAGCCTGACACATCATTCATGGTTCTGTCAGTGAGGGAAGAGTTCATGAGTGCTTTCAAGGAAGAGAAGCTTGAGAAAGTTCAGAAGGCTGTTGAAGGATCTGTTGATGATTTGGAACTTCCATTTCAAGTTTTTTCCAAGCTTGGAAGTGATGAGTAATTGAAATCTCTAGTTCTTGTTGATTGACTGATCGAGCTACTTTTAAAACATTGAGACATTGTTGCAGGATGGGTGAATAGACTACAACTACTTTGTGGTAATGATGCAGAGAGCATAATGGGAGGACATGTGAAGATGGGTTTAGAGAACATCATTAGCATTAGTTTTCAGATTACAAATCCAAAATAAACAAGAGCTTCTTCTGTTTTTTATATATGTATTGATGATCATGATTGTGTTAAAAAATTTAAACAAGAGAACCCCTAATGAAGTTTTACCATTGGAGGAGGAAAAGATTTTGTATTTCAATAGAAGCTCTTAACTTTAAATTATGCAAAATTTATGTTTAAAAAATTTGTGAGAGCCTCCACATGGTTCTTACCATTGGAGATGCTCTAAGGATCTACGTAAGATTCTTCAGGCAAGATTCTACGTAAGGATCTCATCAAGCTCGTCACTTCCAACTCCAAGCTTTAAAATTGTTACAAGACTATATAATGAGATCCCAATCTCAATGTATAAGTATTAAATCCATCACCTCTGTGGCTTTGTGGAAAAACCGAAACTAAATAACACTCTCCATCCATTTGGAAATATGACCGCAATTTAAAGTACGTGCTCCATTATCGTCTTAAGTAGTTTGCCAGCTTATATTGTTTAATTCTTAAAATAAAAAATATTGATATTTTCTATACAAAAAACATATAAATTTGTCAATATCCTTATAACTCAGATATCCTTATAATTTGAATTTTGTTTATCAGATTTAACAAAAAAATCAATATATTTATAACAAAAAATTACATTAAAACCTTTAAACAGTATTCTATATCAAAAAGGTATTTATTGTGAGAAAAAAAAACAAATAAGAAGTAACATTTCACCAAAATCTCATTTAAAGTAATTTTGGACGAGTTTTGATATGTGCTAACAAGTCCAATTTGGGCTATAGTCTTCACAAAGCTGCACTGTATGGTGAGTCGAAATCGACGTCTATCTCTTCCTTTGTCGGCATTTACTTGCGAATTTTATTCACAAAGTTTTTGATAGTCTTTTTTTTTTTTTTTGAACACCTAACGTTTTGATAGTTTTCAACTTTTCATATACAAAAACTACTCTTTATCTACTTGACTTAAACATTAGCACTCTTCAGGAAAAGAAACAAAAATAAATTTGTATTAACCACTCTTCAAATTCTTCCGCTGGTTTGGTGTTGCGCACAGAGAGCTTCATCACATGTACTCCTGAGAAAAAAATGGCGGATTCTCCGATATCTCTCATTGATCCCAGAAGCGGTTTCTGCAAATCAAACTCTATATTCTATAGTAAGCGCCAACCATTGAGTCTCCCGCTAAATCCTTCGCTTGACATCACTACATTCATCTCCTCTCAACCGCACCGTGGCACAACCGTCTTCATCGACGCTACCACGGGGCAATGTTTAAGCTTCTCCGATCTCTGGAGAGCTGTTGATAATGTCGCTGACTGTCTTTATCATGACGTTGGAATACGGAGAGGCGACGTCGTCCTCATCCTCTCTCCAAACTCAATCTACATTCCCGTAGTTTGCCTCTCCGTCATGTCTCTCGGCGCCGTCGTCACCACCGCCAACACTCTCAACACCGCCGGCGAAATCTCTAAACAGATCGCCAACAGTAATCCAACTCTCGTCATCACCACTCGCCAGCTGGCACCCAAACTCTCCGCCGATATCTCCGTCGTCCTCATCGACGACGAAGACCAGAAGCCTGTGGAGCTCACTCGCGTGGTCAGAGTCGTTGGGGTTTTGAGCGAGATGGTGAAGAAAGAACCGAGTGGGAAACGAGTCAGATACCGAGTCAACCAGGACGACACGGCGATGATGCTTTACTCGTTGGGAACCACGGGACCGAGCAAAGGAGTGATCTCGTCTCACCGGAATTTAATAACTCAGGTGGCGAGATTCATATCGGATAATTTGAAACGAGACGATATTTTCATCTGTACTGTCCCGATGTTCCACTCCTACGGGTTATTGGCCTTCGCTATGGCCACCGTAGCATTAGGTTCGACGGTGGTGGTCCTCCGGAGATTTCAGCTCCACGATATGATGGATGCGGTGGAGAAGCACCGAGCCACGATTCTGGCTTTGGCGCCACCGGTTTTAGTAGCTATGATTAACGACGCAGATCTGATTAAGGCTAAGTACGATCTGAGCTCACTGAAAACGGTGAGGTGTGGTGGAGCACCGTTGAGCAAGGAGGTGACTGAAGGGTTTCGAGAGAAATATCCGACGGTTGATATACTTCAGGGGTATGCTTTGACGGAATCCAACGGCGGAGGGGCTTTCACGAATTCAGTGGAGGAAAGCCGGAGATATGGCACGGCGGGGATGTTGACGTCTGATGTGGAGGCGAGGATCGTGGATCCGAATACGGGTCGGGTCTTGGGAATTAACCAAACGGGTGAGCTCTGGCTCAAGGGTCCTTCAATTTCTAAAGGTAAAAAACAAGGACGCTATATCACTAGATTTTTTGCCCGCGGTAAAAGTAATAACTTGATTCATTTTTTTGTCAAAGGTAAAATTGATCATGTGAGATCAATATATAAGTTGAATATAAATTTAATTGTTAATGGGATCAAGTTTATAACTTTTTATGAAACAAATATAGCAAGAGCCAAGAAGTCTAATTTGATTTCCAAGTTTTTTTAAGAAGTGATGGATTTTGCATATGGTTTTGGATTTAGTGTAAGTGAATTTTGTATGTATCATATGATTTTAAAGTGTTATTATTTTATTTGACAACGTTGCATATATTTTTTTGAATTAATAATTTATATTTATTTGATTGTAAGGTTATTTCAAAAACCAAGAAGCTACGAATGAAACCATTAATTTAGAAGGATGGCTAAAAACAGGAGATCTTTGCTACATCGATGAAGATGGGTTTCTTTTTGTTGTTGATCGATTGAAAGAACTGATCAAATACAAAGGCTATCAGGTTAAACATCTATTTTCATTGATACCAAAAACAAAAAAAAACATCTATCTTCATTATTTGACAAACAGTGTAAATTTTAAAATAAAGATCTAACGATTCGAATTCGATAAAGAGGTGCCTCCAGCTGAACTAGAAGCTCTTCTAATTACTCATCCAGACATTCTCGATGCCGCCGTTATTCCGTAAAATATTTCATAATTTTTATATTTTCTCCCATTAAAAATCACCATGAATTTATCTCTATAAAACGTCAAAACAACGTGGAGTTTAAAAGTTTTGTGTTGTTCATGTATGGTTTTGTTGTGTATCACAAAGGTTTCCGGATAAAAAAGCAGGACAGTATCCGATGGCATATGTGGTACGAAAACATGAGAGCAATCTCACTGAGAAACACGTTATTGACTTCATCTCTAAGCAGGTCTGCTTTTATAATCACAAAACAACACCTTCTTCTTTACCTTGTTTTTACTTTAAATTATTCTTAGGTAGTAATTTAATTTTGTGATAGTTCGTTTTAAAAGAAAAATAAAATTTTGAACAGGTAGCCCCATATAAAAAAATAAGAAAGGTCGCATTTATAAATTCCATACCAAAGACTGCATCTGGGAAGACGCTTCGCAAGGATCTAATCAAACTGGCTACTTCTAAACTTTGAAAGGAAAGAAAATGGCGTATCCTGAGAGATCTCTCATTGTTGATCGCAGAAGTGGTTTCTGCAAATCAAACTCCACATTCTATAGCAAGCGCAACCCATTGTGTCTCCCGCCAAATCCGTCGCTTGACGTCACAACTTTCATCTCCTCTCAACCACACCGCGGCACCACCGCCTTCATCGACGCCGCCACGGGCCACCGCTTAAGCTTCTCCGATCTCTGGAGAGCCGTCGATCGCGTCTCCGAATGTCTCCAAAACGAAATCGGATTACGGAGAGGCGACGTCATACTCATCCTCTCTCCAAACTCAATCTACATCCCCATCGTTTGCCTCTCCGTCATGTCTCTCGGCGCCGTCGTCACCACCGCCAACACTCTCAACACCTCCGGCGAAATCTCCAAACAGATCGCCGACAGTAATCCAACTCTCGTCTTCACCACGCTCCAACTGGCACTCAAACTCTCGGCCGCTATCTCCGTCGTCCTCACCGACGACGAAGACGATAAGCGCGTGGAGCTCACTAGCGGAGTCAGAGTCATTGGGATTGTAAGCGAGATGATGAAAAAAGAACCGAGTGGTCAACGAGTTAGGGACCGAGTCAACCAGGACGACACGGCGATGATGCTTTACTCGTCGGGAACTACAGGACCGAGCAAAGGAGTGATCTCGTCTCACCGGAATTTAATCGCTTACGTGGCGAGATACATCGACGATAAATGGAAACGAGACGAGATATTCGTATGTACCGTCCCGATGTTCCACACCTTCGGGTTATTGGCCTTCGCTATGGGCAACGTAGCGTCGGGTTCGACGGTGGTGATCCTCCGGAGATTCGGGCTCGAAGATATGATGCAAGCGGTGGAGAAGTACAGAGCCACGGTTCTGACTTTGGCTCCACCGGTTTTGGTAGCTATGATTAACGGTGCAGATCAGCTCAAGGCCAAGTACGATTTGACCTCCCTGAGAAAGGTTAGGTGTGGTGGAGCGCCGTTGAGCAAGGAGGTTACGGATAGCTTCCTAGAGAAATATCCAACGGTTTATATTTTTCAAGCGTACGCTTTAACAGAATCGCACGGTTCAGGAGCTTCGACGGAATCGGTGGAGGAGAGTCGTAGATGCGGTGCGGTGGGGTTGTTGTCGTCCGGTGTTGAAGCAAGGATTGTGGATCCTGATATGGGTCGGGTCATGGGTGTGAACCAACCCGGCGAGCTCTGGCTCAAAGGCCCTTCTATTTCTAAAGGTAAACAAACAAACACCAAAACCACCACTCCATTGCCCATTGCTCTGTACTTTTCTTTTACCAAAAAAAAAAACAAACAAACACCAAACACGTACGCTAAATATTTGATCATTTGAAATAGACATTTTTTTATTATTTAATTATTTGGAAATTATCCTCAAAAAATTATCATGATCAAGTTTCAAAGTAGTAATGGATTTTGCATGTGGTTTTGGATTTAGTGAGTGAGTAATTGAGTTTTGTATACATCGTGTATGATTAGTATTCATAACGTGGACACCGTAACCAAAGAGAGCAGATTAGACACTGAGTACGTAGAGCTTCTCGCCTTCCATCTTTCTTAAAACATTTCCAGATGTTAGGTAGCAAAATATTTTGAGTATTATTGTATTTGTATGTTATATAGAAAACTCGTAGTCGTAGCAACGAAGAATTAGTAAACGATGTACTGTACGTATTCGTGTAGGTAGATATTAATTAGTATGAGTTTAGCCACACAAAAAAAATATTAATTATGAGAGAATTAAATGAATGACAAGTTATAAAATTATTTTAGTAAATCCTAGTTTGAAACATTCTTAAACTGTTTTGGGACAACACAACCATTTTTTTTACATGGCAACGAGCCAACGACGTATATTTTTTGAATTTAATTAACCTTTATATGTTTAAAAGGTTATTTCAGAAACGAAGAAGCTACAAATGCAACTATAAATCTAGAAGGATGGCTAAAAACTGGAGATCTCTGCTATATCGATGACGATGGTTTTCTTTTTATTGTGGATCGATTGAAAGAACTGATCAAATACAAAGGCTACCAGGTTAAAAATTCATCATCGTTATGTTACTAATGGTGTAAAAATTTTAAAAATAAAAATCTAACGGTTAAATATTTGATATACAGGTGCCTCCAGCTGAACTAGAGGCTCTTTTGATCACTCATCCAGACATTCTTGATGCTGCTGTTATTCCGTAATATATATCACAACATTTTTTAATTTCAACTAAAACATGATTATCTTTGCCATTCAAATATCAAAAAACATGTGTGGTATTGCTCTATTCATGTTAGTTTCTTATGTGTATGGCAAAGGTATCCGGACAAAGAAGCAGGACAATATCCGATGGCTTATGTGACGCGAAAGCCTGAGAGCAATCTCTCTGAGAAACAAGTTATTGACTTCATCTCTAAACAGGTGGTGATATATAATCCATCTTTCATTATCTTATATTTTGTATATTGTTATACTTAAAATTAATTTTGGGTCGTAAATGATTTGATGAGCAGGTGGCACCGTATAAGAAAATAAGAAAGGTTGCATTTATAAGTTCCATACCTAAGACTGCATCCGGCAAAACACTTCGTAAAGATCTGATCAAACTAGCAACTTCTAAACTTTGAAAAGATCTATTTGCTAGTTTTTTAATTTTATTGATGGTATTGCTTTTTTAGTAAGAGAGGAATTGTAGATTTATAATAATGTTGTATCATGAGAAAATTTTACAATGGGTGTTTCTCTTTTTTTTTGTCTACCATTTGTGCTAATTTGTCACGAGATATATATTTATTAAGTTTTGCCAGTGAATAATGATGCAACAAACCCAACCACCATCTTTAGGTTCAGCCAATTTGACATATTTTGCAACTTGTAACGATTAAGGATGTTGTGGCACTGGCACATTAGCCTAGTTTTGTTGAAGTTGAACCGGATTTCGAAGTTGTGGAGAAAAAGTAGAGTTAGATTTTTGGCTCTGTAGTCTGTATTTGTATAATATCACTCAAACTTGTTCAGTTAGTCGGATCCGTCGAATACTCAAAAAGTGGGCAATTATGTAATAGTTTGCAGGATTGTTGAGTCACATTTATACCAACCAAGATTATTGAGTCCACTATCCACAATACGTCACAGCATTTGTTTAATCACGATACACTTGCCTAAATCTGATTAAAGTATTAAACAATACAAAAAACTTTTAAGCAATCATCGTTACTCATTAGTAATTTACCAATTAATAAGGAAAAAATAAGGGTATAATACAAAGGAGTTCGTTTTAGAAAATAATTTAGCTGGTACGTGACTATGTGTTATTTGACGTGCTGTGAGTTGGACTTGTGACTTGTGTAATAGGAAATTCGGAATTGATTTTAATATCTAGAAAACTATAATTTTGTTGTACGATTAGGCCCAAAGTCGTTATGGGTCAAAGACTCAAAAGTGAAGTGGGCTTTTACCCATATAAAAAATTCCACGTCATAAAACTTAAATTAGAAACCAATCTTTACCAAAAAAAAAACAAAAATTTTGACCAAATAAAACAATAAAAAATAACGACCAATCACTGAGAGCCTTTCGATACAACCAAGGTCCGTTAACATGGCGGTTAAACACGGCGGCGACGGCAGCGAAATCGGATCCAAAATTCTGACGATAGATCGGAAAAGCGGTTTCTGTGAATCAACTTCGATTTTCTACAGCAAACGTGAGCCAATGGCTCTCCCGCCAAACCAATTTCTCGACATCACGTCTTTCATTTCGTCACAGCCTCATCGCGGTAAAACCGTATTTGTCGACGCCGTCACCGGTCGTCGTCTTAGTTTCCCCGAGCTCTGGCTCGGTGTCGAAAGAGTTGCGGCTTGTCTTTACGCATTAGGTGTACGCAAGGGAAATGTCGTCATTATACTCTCTCCAAACTCAATCCTCTTCCCGATCGTCTCCCTCTCCGTAATGTCACTCGGCGCAATCATCACCACCGCTAATCCGATCAACACTTCCGACGAAATATCCAAACAGATCGGCGATTCTTGTCCTGTTCTCGCCTTCACCACATGCCAACTCCTCTCCAAACTCGCCGCCGCGTCGAATCCGAATCTCCCGGTGGTTCTCATGGACGAAAACCACGTGCATTCACAAACTCACGGTGAACGCGTGAAAATAGTCGGGAGGTTAGAGACGATGATTGAAACGGAACCGAGTGAGTCACGAGTTAAGCAACGAGTCAACCAGGACGACACGGCGGCTCTGTTATACTCATCAGGTACGACGGGGACGAGTAAAGGAGTAATGCTGAGTCACCATAACCTAATCGCATTGGTACAAGCATACCGGGCCCGGTTCGGTTTAGAGCAGCGAACCGTTTGCACAATCCCAATGTGTCACATATTCGGATTCGGTGGTTTCGCGACGGGGCTAATCGCGTTGGGTTGGACAATCGTGGTTCTTCCCAAATTCGATATGGCTCAGCTTCTCTCGGCGGTGGAGATTCACCGTTCTTCGTACCTTTCTCTTGTACCGCCGATTGTGGTCGCTATGGTTAACAGAGCAAATGAGATCAATTCCAAGTATGATCTGAGCTCGTTGCACACTGTGGTGGCTGGAGGAGCTCCGTTGAGTAGAGAAGTGACGGAGAAGTTCGTTGAGAATTATCCGACGGTTAAGATTCTACAAGGGTATGGTTTGACTGAGTCAACGGCTATAGCTGCTTCTATGTTTAATAAGGAGGAGACTAATAGGTATGGAGCCTCTGGATTACTGGCTCCAAATGTGGAAGGTAAGATTGTGGATCCGGATACGGGTCGGGTTTTGGGTGTGAATCAAACGGGTGAGCTGTGGATTCGAAGTCCCACTGTGATGAAAGGTGTTTGATTCTTGATCTTTAGCTCATGTATATGTAAAATGTGTTTTGTTTTTGTTTTTTATTGTTGTCTGAAACTTGTTGAGTTGTTTATAGGTTATTTCAAGAACGAAGAAGCTACTGCTTCTACTATTGATTCAGAAGGATGGTTGAAAACTGGAGATTTGTGTTACATTGACAGTGATGGGTTTGTCTTTGTTGTTGATAGATTAAAGGAGTTGATCAAATGCAACGGTTATCAGGTAGATAACTACAATCCATTTAAGTTAATCTTTCTTAATGCATTGATCATCTGAATTGTAAAGTTGATGGTTTTGGTAATGTTTGTTAGGTTGCTCCAGCTGAACTAGAGGCATTGTTGCTTGCTCATCCAGAGATTGCTGATGCAGCAGTAATACCGTAAGTTTTGCTTTTAACAATGACCCATCAGCAAATTCTTCTCTTTACTGATTCTTTTTTTGCTGAAGCTTTTACTTTTCTTTCTTATTGTTTTTGAAGCATCCCTGACATGGAAGCTGGGCAATATCCAATGGCATATATAGTAAGAAAAGCTGGAAGTAACTTATCGGGAAGCGATATTATGGGATTTGTCGCAAAACAGGTTTTTTCAACAATGCAGATCATGTTTTTTAACTAATCTGACCGTGGTTCCTTAGGTTTAACTGGAATTTTGTTTGGATTACATAGGTATCACCGTACAAGATGATTCGCAAAGTCACATTTTTGGCTTCAATCCCCAAAAATCCTTCTGGCAAGATTTTAAGAAGAGAACTTATAAAGCTCACAACTTCAAAGCTCTAGCAGGAAGCTCTGTCACCATCCTTAGCTCGCACTTCAGGGTTAGTTAACCTGTTTGTTTGGTTTAAATGTTAAGTTACTTCTTCTACAGATATCTTTGTCAAAACTGAATAATGATATACAAACTGAAAGCTTATATAGAATCTCTGTTTCTATATATATACAAACAGAAAAGACCTTTGTGTGTAAAAGAACTCTCCACAACGGATAAACTGTTAAAAAACTAGAGACTGGAGCTTGCTCTGATCATGAGCTGCGTTGCAACGAAAGAGAGGGAAGAAATATGAAACCGAGGAAGCTCCCTTGCACGACGTGCTCATGGGGGACACATCCTGGTTCATCTTCTTCACACCATCATCACCACCATCATCATCATGGTCAGACAAATTCCTGTTTCTCAACAACATGAGGATGTGATCCATCAAACCTCCATCGCAAGGAACCTGTAAAGGGCCACAAATGGTGGAACCAAACTCTTCCTCTGCCATCTCCAATAAGACCTGAAAGATTGGATGTTTGAGATAATCCAACGGCAAAACAAACCTCCTGCCTTCTCTGGTGTACACAGCAAAGTGTCCTTTCTTACACTTCCTCCACTTCTCCATCAAATCGGTGAGTCTAAGCCTCGAGCAAGATCTTTTCTTCAGAGACATATATAGAACTTTTATCTGTTACCGATATAAGACCGTTGTGTATAGTATGTTACTGTCTGAACTATACTTGCCTCTCTCTCTCCACATATATATACTACAAAATGTGATTAGTGTTTGTGGTAGTTGTTTTGCGGCCCAAAAAGAGGATTAGGAATGTGTGGAAGGAGTAAGGTAGCCGTGTGATTCTTCATTATTTGGGTTAAAAAGATATTATTACTATGAGAGTAAGTGGATGTGTTATTGTCTTGGATCTCTAGGATAAACAATAATTCTTTTTGGCAAAAAAAAATCTGAAATCTGTATATGATAAAAATAAAATTAGTATTATATAAACCAAATTGTCAAATCTAAAAAAAAAAATTGTCAGTTAAAATCTGAAAACAGATAAAAACGAAAGATATTTATACAAAACTATATATGAATATACGAAAACAATTGTTTTAAATTAATAACTAATATTATTGATTGATAGTTCTAAACTTCTAATAACGCAAAATGAGGTAAGAAAAAAAAGATGAGCATAAACGATTTTGATTGCGAATAGTAAGCAACACTTACATATAATTTAGGCCACATAGTATTAGTTTGTGAGAAGGTAAAAGGAGATGTGGTGGTGACAATAGAGCATGTGAGATGTGACCGTTTAGAGCAAATTGCTGCTGCTTTTCTTTGTTATATTCACGTCCTCAACTTCTCTATTCTTACTTTCTTGTGTATCTATCTCCCCTATTTTAATTTCTTCTCGTCTTTTTCTTCAAGTCACATGAAATCCTACAAGCCCTCACTTTTCAACTATGTATGTGTAGTCCCGAGTAGTACACCGTTCTAATTTCTATTTGCTGCATCTTCATCTTTGTGATATTTACTTGTGAGGTCTGAACCATAAATTGAACCAAAAAATTTATGTAAAAGGATTAGTTTTATTGTTTCCGAATAAACCAAGTAGAAGCCGAAACCAGACAAATTACAAACTAATCTTCGAGGCATTCTAGAAATAATGCAAGCTTCGATATTATTTTTCTCATTCGTTTACCCTAAACCGTCTGAAATTCACAACCACAATTACACATGAAACACAACTCTTTTGAACACGTATTTTTTCTCTGAACAAAACCAGATTGCAGCCTAATGCTAATCAGAAAAATGATTGTCTGATTCTAATCTAAATCCTGAAATCGCCCGGCTCAGCCACCCTGGCCTCACTCTACCCGTGCCGTGAGCATAACCGTCATCTTCATCCATTAAACACGCAATTGGATCAGTACGGAGAACCAGGAGGTGAGTTTTGTGGCTAAGGAAGAGAAAAAGATTGCAACTTCTCTTATGGATCGTGATATTGCAACTTTACATAGATAGCGGAAGAAGCATCCTTCGCTTCTTCTTCCTGGCTAACCTCACTTGCTTTGTGACCTTCATGCAAATTAGCAGCATCAACGTGACACATATCAAGATGAATGCGAGTTGTAACCGCTTGAAGTACAAGGAAACCGCTGAAAACACGAAGAATGCTAAGATGACTAGCTCCCAGATGACAAAGACTACAACATCCACCCTGGATAAAACCAAATAGAAGCTTATTAATAAACGTGTAATTCATGAAGATTTGGACATGCTAGTGAAGCTTAATCCGTAAAAGTCAAACAACAAAGGACTCAATCAATGATTGTAAGAGATAAGAAGGAAGAGAATTTCAATCAATTTCACCTCATAAAAATGGGATTGAATCTTGAAAAGAGATGTAAATCGATTAACTACATTGTGATCTACTAAAAACAAATAAAAAGAGTTTGATCTACGTAATCTTATCACAGAAAAATGTGGGACTTGTATCCTGAGAAAGACAAGTACACGATATATTATGTATTTGATAATAAGTAGCTCCTTCTTAGCTAGAAAACGGAACGAACCACATTGTATACGAGTGAGAAGGCGATTCGAAGGGAAACAAGAAACACATGGGTGCATTATTACTCTCTCTATCGTATCTGTCTATATCACAAAACCCTACAAGCACACAACGATAAGCATGAACTGCTGCTGATCCTATAATTATACTGGAATGTGGATGGTGGTAGATATTGTATTCTCAATCGAGTTAACCAAAAACAGAAATAGTAGTGAGACTGAATACTCTAGTAAACACACTATACTCGAAAACCTATAGCTACTTTACATACAGAACTAACTTCATCTTGTCTGAAATGACAATGTCAAAGTCTAATTAAGGTCGTCACAGTGCAACAAGCTTGACTTAACATAAATAATGCCTGATAGAGCCAGAGATCATTATTCACTCCTCTGGGTATGCAAATTTTATCTTCTGTGAGTAAAAGAGTGATATAATGTGCAATGAAGCTGAAAATATCTTAAAAGAAAAACTTATGCTTTACTCAAATTATGCATTCCTTCAACACACAAAACCAAAATCTTCCCTTGCCAGATTTTAACAAAGAGATGATATCTAATTCTATAAATCAGGATCATGTTAACATTACATTCAGATCTCCCAAACCCTAACTTCCAAATGTAAAATCTAGATCAAAATATTTAATCATGCACAGATCTCGATTGATGAAAACAATTAATCCTCACCTAGAAGAAGAAGAAAAACTTGAGGTCGACGAGAAGAAAGAGACAGAAGCCCAATCATGCTTAGATCGAATCTGATATTCTCTCAGCTGCTCTGCTAGATTCGATCTTGTAATCATCGCTTTCCTATGCTGCGATTCTCCGATTTCACCACCACGAAAAAAAAAAAATCCTTCTCTTCTCAGTCGACTATTATAGCCGGAAAATTCGCCGGAGAAACACGAGATTGAAGATCAATTCTTTCGAAATCGATGAATCTAACAACGGGAAACAACTCTGGAGATTCAAATTTTTTTCAGAGACGAAACAAATTTTTGTTTCGATTCGTCTAAAGTTCGTTAGCGTAGACTCTTCCTCCTTTCCTCTGTCTCGGTGTCAAAATTACGGGTCGGGTTATAACTTTTCCGGTTCCTTAACCCGATTTGATTTTAGAAGCCCATGTTAGTGTAATGATGTATTACAAATTTGGGCCTTTCGAGATCTTAAACTAAACAAAAATATTTTGAGTTTCGTTTTATGGGAAAATCGCCGTTACGTGTACGGAAATTAATGGAGTTAGATCATTTGTGTGTGTTGATCTATGAAATTGTTTTATGTTTGGGGTACCATTGTCTCATTATACTCAAAAATAGGATTTTTAGAGGGATAATTGCGTGCGTTGTTTTCACATGTATAGTAGTATAATTTTTTTTCTATTACTATCGATATTTTTGGATGAAATTTTATATGTGATCTATTGATCATTCTTCTCTTTTCTAGATAGTTCTAATTCTTTTTATGTTTCCATTTCCATCTGAGGCTTATCCTAATTAAACACTTCGACTAGGTGTACAAAATAATCTTGTTTGCAATCAATTAATTGTTGTTCAATATAGCAACGAAAATGATTGCTTTGTTTGGTATGTGTCGGTACAGTGACCGTCCTAATGCTGAAAATAAAAGATTCGGTATGTGACTCTAGTTGCGTGTATATGAAAACGTCACAATTTATTAAGTGGCACGTCGTCGTGATGAATCTTTCAAGTTTCAACCGAACACGATTCATAAATTATAAGCAAAATCCGAAATGGTGCGTTCTCAATGGTCCCATCTGTTCAATCTTATTTAAAATATAAAATGACAAATTAAATTAAGCTTACATAAGTAAGTAATATAAGTCGAAAACAACACCACATACATATATAATTTAATTCTTTTAACTATTTCAATAACGTTTCTTTATCTTAAATAAATTTGTTTCACACCTTGGAGACTCGAGAGCATCCGACTTCGTCAAAAATAAATTTTTACTTTGCTGCATGATTTTTCTTTCTTTTAGTTTTTGTAACGTCTTAAAAAGGTAATTAACGTCAAGTTATTTCACCGAAAGTCTCTGCCGACGTGGCATAAGAAGCCAAAGGGGCCCACATGACCGACATCAACGCTTAAGCCAATCAAAACCGACCATTCAGTTCCATTTGTGGGCTCCTGAAGCGTTATTTTGACACGTGTCAACCATGTATTGGCTTGATCCCTCCATAGTCTTTCTATTTACTGACAGGTAGTATTTGTCTTATCAATTATTTATTTCTACGTGGCATGATGGCTATGGCTAGTTTTTTTTCTTGGTCAAACTAGAATTGATATTGAAATCATAGTAAGGTATTTATTTTTAATTTATTTTTCACCCACTCTCTATATATTTTTTATTTTTTTCACCAGTCTCTATTTATTTTGATGATTCATTTTCTTGAAGGTATTGCAATTTTATCCCGTTATTTTTATTTCTTAGAGAGTTGGCAAACATATCTTTGAAGTTTGAAGTTCCTCTACAGACTTCAATGTGCCTAAACATTGGAAATATGCTTTCTTCTTCAGTTCTCCTAGTTGAATACATATATAAAGTCTATAAATTTCACATATTTTACAGTTTTTTGAAAGCTAAAAATTTTATATACAAAAAATATCGTAAGAGTTTATGTTCTTATTTAAAGTCTCAAATCGTGAGGATGACACATCTACTAGTTCAAACCACTACACTAGATATTCAAATCTATTCAAATTGATTATATATCATATCTATCTAATGTTATACTATACAATCAAATATAAATTAGAAGGAAGTACTTCGACCATGTAAACCAAACTTCTATACATCTCCCGTGAACTAAAGTACATGACTAAGCAAAATATCTAATATTAGTTAACTCTATATCTACATATTAAAAACATAAATCCTTAAATAAAGAAAAAATGGTGGTTTCATTGATATTCATCCACCGACGTAAAGAAAATGGGGTCATTCTGCAATTTAAGAAATAGTATACGTCCTTTGCCATATTTTTAAAAAAATAATTAAAATCTTTAACAGCGTGTGACCTCCGCGTTGGCCTGGACCCTCTTCTTCACACTATAAAACCCCACTCATCACAACAACATTCATCACACAGCTCTTGAAAACTATCATAAAGCAACTTAAAGCTCAAATCGAAATTTGAATATTTCTCTTTATCATTCTTGTTAAGCGTTAAACCGATTCAAGATTAACTATGGCAGAAGAGTACAAGAACAACGTTCCAGAGGAATCATCAACCACGGCGCCAGAGGTTAAGGAACGGGGAATGTTCGATTTCTTGAAGAAAAAGGAGGAAGTTAAACCTCAAGAAACGACGACTCTCGCGTCTGAGTTCGAGCACAAGACTCAGATCTCTGAACCAAAGCCGTCTGTGGCCAAGCACGAAGACGAGGAACTGAAGGAACATAAGCCTACTCTCCTTGAGAAGCTTCACCAGAAACACGAGGAAGAAGAAGAGAACAAGCCAAGTCTCCTCGACAAACTCCACCGTTCCAACAGCTCTTCTTCTTCTGTAAGTAAAAGTTTGATTAGTTTGAAGTTTTTTGGTTAAATCTTGAAACAAACTCATGGTTTTGAAATTCTGAATATTCAACAGTCAAGTGATGAAGAAGGTGAAGACGGTGAGAAGAGAAAGAAGAAGAAGGAGAAGAAAAAGATCGTTGAAGGAGATGTGAAAACAGAGGAAGAGGAGAACCAAGGAGTAATGGACAAAATCAAGGAGAAGTTTCCATACGGCGAGAAACCAGAGGGTCATCATGAGGTACCAGTTGTCACCACTATGCCAGCACCACATTCGGTAGACGATAAAAAACCAGAGGAAGAAGAGAAGAAAGGATTCATGGATAAGATCAAGGAGAAGCTTCCAGGCCACAGCAAGAAACCAGAGGAGTCACAGGTCGTCAACACCGCACCGCTGGTTGAAACAGCAACACCGATCGCGGAGCATCCGGAGGAGAAGAAGGGGTTTATGGATAAGATCAAAGAGAAGCTTCCAGGTTATCATGCCAAGACTAGTGGAGAGGAAGAGAAGAAAGATAAAGAGTCTCTTTAAGAGAAAAAGATGAAAGAATGAATAATAATGATGTGGGAGTGTGACATTTGTTGTGTGTTTTTTTTTTGTTGATCATTATCTTTTTTCTTTTGTATTTCAAGCTGTTCTCCAAGTTTGTGTTTAGTGATAGATCATTTGTATTTGTTATATAAAGCTGTTTTATCTATGGGGAACAATTGTTTACTCAATGAAGCTTAAATGGATGATTTCTCATATGAAGGGAAGAATCAATAGGATCGAACTAGTTTATGGATGTTACTATGAAAGAAAGAAGATTAGAAAGTATTTAAAATTTGAGTTTGTCCAAAAAAAATATTTAACATTTGATATATATGGAAATTATAGCTATATATTCATAATAATAGACCAGTTCAAGATCACATTTATGGATTTATTAGTATTTTTGTACATAAATGAATATACTAATTACTTCTTAATAGTAGTGAGTGAACTAGGCAATAGACTTTTCAATTCGTAAAAGAAAGAGTTTTTAAAATTTCAGTTTATAATAGACTTATATTTGACCAAGACATATGTAGCCTAGACACATGGCTAGAAACATATCATCATTGTCTCACCATCTTATTTTTTTTTTGTATAAATGACGTATATATAGAACCCGTGCATAGACTTTATAATCGGGCCGTACCCGCATCATGTGCTTGATTGTTAATTGAAATTCGTAGACCTTGATCCGTTTTGATAGCCTAATTGCTAAATTTTTGGCACAGCATATCATATTATAGTGTCGAGGTATTTGATATGGTTTTGGTTCAATTTTTTAGATTTTCAGTTTAAAATAAATAAAAGCCGGTTTGATCATGGTTTAGATTCGGTTCAACATTTATTTTTTAATCAAATAGTACATCTCTATAAGATAAATTTTTTTTTTTTTTATATGATTCTTTGAGAAATGCGGTTAGATTTTTTTCGTTTTTAAGGTCAGGTAAATTTACATGTGGTGCACAAATTTGTTTTTGTTGTAGTTTGTAAAAGTTTAACGCGATAAATTAATTAAAATCAATATACACAAGCAAACGAAAACGATTGCTTTGTTTGGTTATTATGTGTCGGTAGAGTGACCACCCCAATGCCTAAGTTTTTTAAAATTTGGTCTGTTAATTACGGGTCGATCGCGTGTTCATGAAACGTCTCAATTTATCAAGTGGCACAACGTCTTAAATCTTTCAACCGAACACGATTCATATAATTTAATAAATTTAAGCAAAATCCGAAATTGTGCGTTCTCAAATGCCCCATCTGTTAAAGCTAATTTAAATATAACAAAAAAGCTTTCGTCCGTTATCATACAAGCCAAAAAACGACATCACATACCTAAAATTTCATACTTATAATATAATTATTTCAATACCGTTATTTATCTTCAGACAAATTGATTTCAAAATTAAAATCTACTTTGATGCATATATATTTTTTTTTGTTAACGTCTTAGTTCTTAAAAAGGCAATTTATTAGAGGAGTAATGTCATGTTTGTAATTTACCCGAAAAATATCTGCAATCTAGCTTTAGCCGACGTGTCTAATGGCCCACATGACCGACATCTATGCTTAAAGCCTATCAAAGCCGACCATTCAGTTCCATGTGTGGGGCCCTTAACACCTCGTTTGACACGTGTCAGTATCATATTGGCTCCATCTATGCCTTCTACATTATTCTGTTTTTCTCTAATTCGTTCTAACTTCTAAATTCTAATGTTTACATTAGTCTTTCCATTTATTTATATTTTGGCTGGTTAATTCTGTTCATAGTTCGGTTATAATTACTTCCTATTTATTTTACCCCTTTATTTATAAATCTTACAGACATAACCTGAGAGACCGAGAGTCTTAAAAGAGTTAGAAACATCCCTTTTGAAGTTTGAAATTTCTTTCATATTTTTTTTAAGTGAAGTAAAAGGTCCAAACAATTTAAAATAAAAAACAAGAAAAAATGTTAAAAATTGTTAAGTTCTATTACCAGGCAAATTATTTAGTGTTTTGTTTTTTCTTCTTACACAAAGCTTGAAATAATATGATGGTGACATAACATCAAATTCAAATTCCAAACCACTACATTGTACTCCTAGTCCATTGAAACTCTTTACTTATACATCTGTTATCTATTTAATTTGATAAAATGCAATAAAATAATAGATTAAAAGGATGGACTTCAACCACGTAACCATAGACCATAGTTTGATACAGCTCCTGTAGATAAAAAGTACATGACTATGCGTATCTAATATTAGTTTAACTCTTCATCTGTATATTAAAAACATAAATCCTTAAATTAAGAAAAATAATGTGGTGATATCATGATATTCATCTACCGACTTAAAGAAAAAAGGGGTCATTATGCAATTCCAGAAATAAATATCCATCTTTTGGATTACTAAAAAAATTAATTAAATCTTTACAGCGTTACCTCCGCGTTGGCCTGGACCCTTCTCTTGAGTCTTGACACTATAAAAACCCCCACTCTCTCTTCTCTCATCATAAACATTACTCATTCACAAAACCATCTAAAAGCAACTACACTAATCTCTAATCAAATCTCTCATATTATTCTGTTTACTGTTAACCTTTCAATCGAATCAAGATTAACAATGGCTGAGGAGTACAAGAACAACGTTCCCGAGCACGAGACACCAAAGGTCGCAACAGAGGAATCACCAGCGACGACTACAGAGGTTACGGATCGTGGATTGTTTAATTTCTTGGGGAAGAAGGAAGAGGAAGTGAAACCTCAAGAGACGTCAACGCTCGAGTCTGAGTTTGATCATAAGGCTCAGATCTCTGAACCGGAGTTAGTTGCGGAGCACGAAGAAGTGAAGGAGAACAAGATTACTCTCCTTGAAGAGCTTCAAGAGAAGACTGAGGAAGATGAGCAGAACAAGCCTAGTATCATCGAAAAGCTTCACCGATCCAACAGCTCTGCTTCCTCTGTAAGTAAAAATTTATGAAATTTGATATGATCGAAATGGTTGATAAGAGATACTTATATATAAGATTTAGATTACTTTTATAGATCTTGATTGAACCAATAATCATACTCATGGTTCTTGAAATTTGAATATCTAACAGTCGAGCGATGAAGAAGGCGAGGAGAAGAAGGAGAAGAAGAAGAAGAAGATCGTTGAAGGAGAGGAAGAGAAGCAAGGACTAGCGGAGAAGATCAAGGAGAAGCTTCCAGGCCACCACGACAAAAAACCAGAGGATGATGTACCAGTTTCCACTACCATCCCGGTACCAGTGTCGGAGAGTGTGGTGGAGCATGACCAACCCGAGGAAGAGAAGAAAGGACCAGTGGAGAAGATCAAGGAGAAGCTTCCTGGCCACCACGAAAAGACTCCAGAGGATTCACCAGCTGTCACCAGCACGCCGTTGGTTGTAACGGAGCATCCAGTGGAGCCTACGACGGAGCATCCGGTGGAACATCCGGAGGAGAAGAAGGGCATTTTGGAAAAGATTAAAGAGAAGCTTCCAGGTTATCATGCCAAGACCACCGAAGAGGAAGAGAAGAAAGTAAAAGAGACTGATGCTTAAGAAAAATGGTTAAAGAATGAATAATGATGTGGGAGTGGGACATTTGCTGTGTTTTTGTGATCATTATTATCTTTCTCTTTTAAGTTGTTCTTGTGGCTTTCGTTGATTGCATTTGATCTGTAATTTCATTTTATCTTTTATATATAAAGTTTGCATATTGTTTCTAGTTTATGTAATTTGTGTGTAGGTTTTCATTTGGTATTCCATAAAACTCATCGCATTCTGTTACAGTGTTACGTTTGGTGATTACGTTATTCACATGATCACCTCGAATTGACAAAAGTTTCAAATGATGACATGCATGAGAGGAAAAGAAAGTGGACAAATACTAAAACCAGCAGATAATGTTTATCACAATAATACGAATATTTCAATTTTTCGCCATCTGGCTTGATTAGATTTTTGACATATATATCCAAACATAATTTTCAAACAAGATGAACCCATCATCATCAAACATTAAACACTGATAATGAACAAAGAGAAAAATAAGTTTGCTTTATATAATAAAAATAAATAAGACAAATAAAACCATTAATATTATGTTAATGTTAATTCTACACACATGATTAGATGATTACTATTTATGCTATAACAATTTATTCTACCATGAATTTTATTCATCTCATTCATATTTTTGCCTTTTGGTTTGCACTTCTGCACTTTAAAACCTTCCAACTGTGTCAGAGGCTATGAAAATCAACGATAGGCCTTTTTTGATACAAAAGCAAAAAATTGTATTGGGCTTCATCAAAAGCCCAAATATTTTCGAGAACCCTTTGTTTCTCTCAGACGATTGATTAGACTCATTCCTCTTTGAGTTTATTTGACATTGAAAATGGCTTCGTCTGCGCCACAGGGATCTGTTGATCCTCTCACCGGGAAAGATCCGGCGAAGGCTTTAACAGCTGTAGCGTCTGGATTCTTCGAGAATGTGAAGAAGAACAAGCAAAGCTTCTTCCAGTTCTTCGCCATGACTGGGATTTTGCTTCTGAGTTTCCGATCGGTAAGTCAGAAGTACCGAATTCACGATCTGGAGGAAGACACTGCTGTTCTCAAGAAGGAGCAAGATAGTTTGACGAATCGTATGAGTAAAATCAAAAGCGATCTTCTTCATCAAGCTTCGATTGACTCTACCGGCGTCTTTGCTTCTCGTCTCCGTCTACTTTTCGGCGACGATAAAAAGTGATCGGAGATTTGATTGGTTTAAGTTCAACGAGGTTACCATTTTCTTACTCGTGTGATGGTTATTGTAGTTCTGAAACACATGTCTCTGTCTGTAATGGCTTTGTCTTTAGATTGGAAGGTTTTAGCTAATGAATGAGTAGGGTTTTAAAGGTTGCTGTGATTCAGACAATGGTGTATCGTTTTGATTTATTTGAGAATCTGTTTCGTGAGATCAATTACTTTGTTGTGGCTGAATCGTTTGATTTAGTTTTGATCAAGCAATTGTAGGTTTCTTTTTGAGGCATTTCATCGAACACTTTAACTGCGTTTTCTCAAACTTTGCACACACATCTATCAAAAGAGTTTTGTTTGAAGAATTTTGGGTTATAGTGGTTAAAAATTTAAAATCAACAGCGATAAGATGAACTAGAAACTAGATTGTAAGGTGTCACGTGATTACTTGTCAATTCACCTCTTGAACCAAACAATTCAATCTAGTATAAACATTGGTGTTGGTGAGTTTGATATCCGACTATGTGTGAATTAAATGATTCAATAAAATGCTTCATTACCATAATCTTACAATATTGTATCTTTGATTATACATCATTTTATGGTAATCCACTAGAGTAGTAGAGAGCGAAAAAATCATTTTGATTAATTTATAGCTGCTTCTAAAGTAGCACATTAATCTTGTTTAACAAAGAAAAAACATTAAAATCTTATTGGTTAACAATGTTGTTAGCTCAGGACCTTAGCTGGGCTGACTAGCTGAGGCAGAAGACACTCCTCAAGTCAGAGTTCAACGTATTACTTTTCTTTTCTTCCTACCTTCATTTCTACAAATACATTTTCTCTATTCCACCCATATTTATATTTCTCGTTTTCTCTCCACTCTATTTCTCTATGCCACTCTCTTCATCCATAGAATCGAATTACACAAACAGTCTAATTCTTTTCCTCCTCGAACACTAAAATGGCGGTAAAAGGAAGGAGATACGCCGCAGCTTTGATAATCGGTTCTAATCCTTTCGTCATGAAAATAACAAAAAAAGTAAGAGGGGCGTTCCGAGAATCGAACTCGGGACCTCTCGCACCCAAAGCGAGAATCATACCACTAGACCAAACGCCCTCATTGATTATTAAATCTGCACCACAATTAATATAACTTATTTCTGTGTAGGTCCATACTTTTTTTGAATAGGTGCACCTCATTGACTTGTATACGTTTTTGTATGTATTCACAGTTTCTCAAAATAAATATTTCATAAAGTCAGTCTAGTAAGCCTCAAGAGCAGAACCATGTCTAAGTGCTTCTTTAGCTTCAGCTTCCATCTCGAGCTTCAAGAGACAAACCACATGTAAATAAAGAGGGGTTGGCCATTCTAGTGAAGCTACTTGCGCTTGCATCGCATCGCTTAGAGCCTCACTGAACATTTCAGTCATTAGGTAACAAAGACACCTTCTTGCCAATACTGTTGGTGACATTGTAGGAGCTCCACTCATGAACTGCAAAATAGTGAAGAATTCTGTGGCGAAATTTTTTTTTGCCAAATTTTTTGAAAATTCTTCATCAAAAATACGAAAAATGAACTATTTTTTTAAAAAAGGGAAAAAATAAATCTTTTAAAAAATACAAAAATAAAGTCATTCAAATGTCACCTAAAGTAGTATATAATATCATAAATAAAATGGAGGTAATACTAATACTAGTTTTAAGTTTTAAGATGTGACATAATATATATATAATGACTTTGGAAACATCAATTATAATAGATTTTTAGGCCATCATCAACAAGGGACGAAATCGTATTCGAAACTTCGACTTTACGACTTCGCCAAGCAACAAATAAAATAAGAGACCAGAGAAGGAATGTTTCAGAAAGCACATAAATACGCCTATGAGTCTCTCACAAAGTCACGAGTAGGGCAAAAATATCATATTCCATATCTTTACATCGACAATGCCTCGACTTCATCATTATCTCCGAAATCAAGTCTTCCTCGTCTTTTTTCTCTTCTCTTCCATTGCCTCAGCAGCTATTGTCGAACATGTTTTCCAAGTATTTACTCTTATACCACTTTCTCATTCTTTGTATTTTCTCTCCTCTATAAACTATAATTCAAAAAATTACCGACTAATTTTATTACTGTGGAAACTATATATTACAAATTTTTATTTTATATACTAGCTAGTCACTATTTCTTAAAATTGGAAAAGTTGGTGGTATGCACGTTCTTGTGTCCTTCATTTCAAAATCTATTACCGTATTTGGTGAATCGATCTAATATACCCCCGAGTTTTAGTATATTTTATCTCAAGATTATATAAATACTCTTAGCAAAATAAGATTATATAAATACATAGTGGTACATTACGAATAAAGCGTGGAATGATGTTTTTTTTTGTTTACATTTTACTTTAACGTATATGTGTATTAAACTGACTTAAGATGTTTAGATTATAGGCCTATTGGGAGAAAAAAAAAATATACAAAATATAAGACAACGCATTTAAACTAGTATTGCTTTAACTTTTAACTTTGCCATAAGAAAATGTTAATAATTGCCAAAAAAGAAGAAGTTAATAACGGCGTCTGACAACAACAGGTCAAAGACGTCATGGTAAAACCGTTATGCAAGGAACAAATGATACCGGCAGTTAATGGAAGTCTTCCCGGTCCAACGATCAACGTTAGAGAAGGCGACACTCTTGTGGTTCATGTCATTAACAATTCAACTTACAATGTAACCATCCACTGGTAAATAAGTAACTTCTTATTGATCTCAATATTGTTAGTATTATTTCTTCTTTTATAACGGGCTTTGATATATCGATTTAGGTGTTCTTAAAAGTTATTTCTTGATTGCACACATATATGTATAGGCATGGAGTTTTCCAGCTGAAGAGCGTATGGATGGATGGCGCGAATATGATAACTCAATGTCCGATTCAACCTAGTTACAACTTCACATATCAATTCGATATCACCGGACAAGAAGGTACATTGTTGTGGCATGCACACGTCGTTAATCTGCGTGCCACTCTTCATGGTGCTCTAGTCATCCGTCCCCGATCCGGCCGTCCTTATCCTTTTCCTAAACCCTACGAGGAAGTTCCTCTCATTTTTCGTAAGCATTTCGATCCCCTTTTTCAATGTCGAAATCAATTTTGGCCATTTGGGACCGTGGCAATTCTCGATTATATTTATTCAATATAATATTAAATTAAAAGATAGATTTGTTCAAAAAACAATGTTTTTCCAGATATCTATCATTTACAAGTTATCACGACTTTTTTCGATCTAGGCCACATCCGGACGAGTTGGTTCGGATTAAAATAAACATCAACCAAATATATAAAAGACCTGATATATAATTAATATTCAAATTGTTAATATAATTTGTTTGATAAAAAATGAATATGCCAGAACAATGGTGGGACACAGATGTTAGACTTCTCGAAATACGGCCAGCTCCGGTTTCTGATGCTTACCTCATGAATGGCCTCGCTGGAGATTCATATCCTTGCTCTAAGAATAGTAATATTCACTCTTGACTTGAATAAAAAGTTACTTTGATCTTCTTTTGTAAATTATCGACCTCCTAATTACGTACTTATTAACACAATAATTGTTAACAAAAAACATAATTGACTTATTTGGTTTTTGGCTTCCCTAGGAATGTTTAACCTAAAGGTAGTACAAGGCAAAACATACTTGCTAAGGATTATAAACGCAGCACTCAACACTCACCTCTTCTTCAAAATAGCCAATCACAACGTCACAGTTGTCGCTGTAGATGCTGTCTACACGACGCGGTACCTCACCGATGTGATGATCTTAACCCCGGGACAAACCGTTGACGCACTTCTCACCGCCGACCAGCCCATTGGAAAGTACTACATGGCCACCATCCCTTACATTAGTGCCATTGGGATACCGACCCCTGATACCAACCCCACCAGAGGCTTAATCGTTTACGAGGGTGCCACGTCATCATCGCCCGTGAAGCCGTTGATGCCTACACCGAATCACATACCCACCGCTCATAGGTTCTCCTCAAACATCACTAGCCTCGTGGGTGGACCACACTGGACACCAGTGCCTCGCCAAATAGACGAGAAGATGTTCATAACGATGGGGCTTGGTTTAGACCCATGTCCTTCGGACACCAAGTGTATTGGACCGTTAGGTCAAAGATATGCTGGTTCTCTCAACAACCGCACTTTTATGATCCCAGAGAGAATCTCTATGCAAGAGGCTTATTTTTACAACATTACTGGAGTCTACACCGACGATTTTCCCAACCAACCACCGGTTAAATTTGATTACACAAGATTCGAACAGCGTACCAATTCTGACTTCAAGATGATGTTTCCGGAAAGAAAGACTAGCGTCAAGACAATTAGGTTTAATTCTACAGTCGAGATCGTTTTGCAAAACACCGCGATACTCACCCGGGAGAGCCACCCCATGCACCTTCACGGCTTCAACTTCTATGTGTTGGGTTATGGATTTGGTAACTATGATCCTGTCCGTGATGCAAGAAAGCTAAATCTATTTAACCCACAAATGCGTAATACCGTTGGTGTACCACCTGGTGGATGGGTTGTCCTCAGATTTATCGCTAATAATCCTGGTTAGTAACATTTATATATATCTTTAGTATCGACACTAGTTAAATTATTAATCGATGGATTAATATGAATATGAATTTTTATTTTTGCAGGTATATGGCTGTTCCATTGTCACATGGATGCTCATTTACCATACGGAATTATGATGGCTTTCATAGTTCAAAATGGGCCAACTCCAGAAACGAGCTTGCCATCTCAACCGTCGAATCTTCCGCAATGCACTCGGGATCCTAGGATCTATGACTCTCCGATGACTAATGTTGATTTGTCTTACTAAAAAGTAGCTACGTTCGTTTTTTTTTGTTTCTTTCTAAATTGTACATTTCATATTGACTATCAATCGTAGTCAATTAGTCATTGCTTCCACATTTTTCGAAATCATTGTTTCTAAAAATTCTGTATATTTCTTTATTCAAAAAAATTTTGGTCACCAGTGCACAACAATATTTGAACTGATTTATACGAGAAACAATTATCTTATTTATGTAAAAATGAATAATCTAAAATAAACACAAATAATATAAGTTAAGGTCCAAATTTTATATTAATTGAATAATCTAAAATAAACACAGTTCAAATTGGTTTTGTAAAAAAAACTGAATAAGCTCACTGCTAATTGTTAGACGCCGCCTTCTCCAAATTTCCGAAGCAAATGTCCGCCGACACAGGACCCGCCTCCGGCGACTCAGCTGGTTTTCCCAACGGCCTCGTAAGCCATGGTGACTCTAAGACACGGCGCGTATACGAAACAGCTCGATCTCTGCATTCCGGTGCTGTGAAAGATCTTCTATCTCTCGGGGTCCGTATTCTTTTCTCTTGCTCTCACTAGTTCTTAGGGTTTCTATTTCTCACAACTTCTCCGATTCCGTTCCAATTTCTTTGTGAATTCGTTTTCCCCGATATTTAGTAAGTCGGTGTGTCTGTGTGCTCTGTTAGGTCTGCGAGAGATGTATTTTCCGATTGGTAGCCGTCGAGGCTTTTGATTCCGATATTTCTTCAGTCTCGACTTCAACTCTTCACAGTTGGCTCAAATCCGGTGATGATGAAACTGGTTCATCGGAATCAAGCTGTTCCAGAATCTGCATTGTTTGTTTAGGTATATTGCAGTTCGTTTTTTCCGATGCCAAAAAAGAGCTGGTGAAATTGGATTGCAGTAGTGATTACGTTGCAAGGATAACGGACTTGGTGAAGCAGGATCGTCATGAGTTCGATAGCTTTGGTCTTGAAGTCTCTGTGCCATCAACTATCATGGAGAATGAACGTGCAGTCTTGTAAGCTTCGCTTGCATCAACTAAAGAGTTTTTCCTTTTTATCAGTTTTGTTTTGGTTCTGCTCTAGTGTTGATGTATCTACCTTTATAGGTCATACCTTAAAGGAAAGTATAGCACTGAAGTTTGGCTGCAGCGCGACAAAATTTCTGTAAAGGATGCCTTGAAAGTTCTACTCTTGGATCAACTTAAAGCATCGTTGGTGAGTCGGTGATTTGCTTGAATATGTTTCTGTTTTGGAAATTGTAGAGTTCCTAAGGTTTACACCTTTGCTTCTATTGCTTAGTATCTTATGAAAATGGATGTTATAACCTGCAAAATCTGTGGCCAGATAACAAAACTGAAGTCTTTGCATTTCTTCTCTGTTTCGAGTTTTGCAGGGCGCTGAATCAGATTCAAGCTCTTTTCACATCCGTTTGACATACTCTAAAGCATCAGACGAGGCTCAGGGTGCTTCTGAAACAACGCATGAAAGTAAGAGGAGGAAAACAGGTATGTCGAGACTCTACAGTCACTTAGTACTCGGTTGAAACTTTTTCTTGAACTCCTGATTCATAAATCATTTATGACATGGTGCATCCATAATTGCTTGAAATGTCACCCATACTTGTGATGTTTAAGGAGTTTGTTGATGAAACAAAATTTGACCTTCATCTACGTTATTCTTCCATGGTTACATCTGAAGGCTCTTTGAGTTTTCTTTGAAAGTTTAAGGAGAAAACATCCAATTAAGCCGACCTCTTTATCTACGCTACTTCAACGTCTTGCATAGATGTCATACTTCTTTTAAAGTGAATATATTCTTAGTTTTGGTCCTTGTCTAGCCATGCGTGGTCTATGCCCTCCTAATGACAGTTTATACACTTTCCGGATCTTGTGCCCATCTACATCAATTACACATTTTATTGAGATAATACATTAGATCCCACAGATCAAATTTCAGAGTTTCGAAATGCTATTTATTAATTATATTTTATGTATATGCAGACGCAGAGAATGGATCAAACTGTATTTCCGAGAATTCATTTGAAAAGGTATTTGTTTGCATGCTTAACCCATAGATTTATATTAGAGTTGAACTTTCTTTTGTCCTGATTGTCATTATTTGACTAACAAAAACTCATGTTCTCGTCATTTTTCTTATATTACTAGGTGTATGAACCATGCATCTTTTCAGTTCATTGCAACAAGATGCCTATCTTTTTTAGTGGGAGATACTTTAAAGTAAGTCACTGTTTTCATGTTCTTGAGGCAGTGTATTGTAACCTCATTTGTGTGTAAACTGTAGTTTGGTAACAACTGGATTCACAGATGACCTAGCAGATTTTTAACCTCTTATTGAGTATCTATCTCAATTGATGGTTCGATCTTATCCTTGCAGTACTCCAGAAATGTTAGTCAATCCCGATGGATTATTGATGATGAAAGAATGGGCGAAGCGTCTGTTGAGGTACTAGTCTCTTAGTGGTCATCTGGACTTTTTTAAATTATTTATTTCTAAAGATACAGTGACTTCAATAGATATTTATATATTTTTCAGGAGATACTTGGTGGAAACATTCTTCCAGCATGCCTTGGGGATTCCTACAAGTTCCATGCAGCTGGCAGAGAAGATATTGATGTAAGAAAATTACCCATTTCGGACGTCATATTCATATTCAACAAGTTTATGCTGATAATATAAAAGAGCTCTATTCAGGTACGAATGTTGGGTTCAGGTAGACCTTTCTTGATCGAGGTTCAGAATTCTCGCCAGTGCCCGTCTGAACAATCATTGAAGGAAGTTGAAGAAAAGATAAACAACTCAGAGAAAAAACTAGTAAGGCCTAATTAATTGAACACAGATGTTATATCAATTGATTATGTGTGCCTTTTTTGCAAGCTTACAAGTAGTATTTTGGCTACAGGTCGGAGTAAAAGACCTTAAATGTATCGGAAGTCAGTGTTGGGCAATGATGCGTGAAGGAGAAGCAGAGAAGCAGGTTAGCATTGTTAAATCATATTGAAATACTGAAACCTTTACTAAACCAATACTTCAGTTAGAAATGTAGTGAAAACTTATCAAACCAACCACTCCAATGTTTTTTATGTATTGCAGAAGCAGTATGTTGCACTTGTATGGATTTCTCGTCCACTTGAAGAGAAAGACTTCAACTCAATTTCTTCCCTGAAAGAATTGGTGAGTCATTTCTTTAATGATTGTTAAGCATAGGTACAAATCCATTGTCGATCCTCAAACCCTGTTCTTTGTTCCTAATAGAAAGCGACTTTCTTCTTCTATATAATTTCACTGCAGAAAATCTTGCAGAAGACACCAGTAAGAGTGCTTCACCGACGAAGTCCATTGGATCGTGAAAAGATTATACATTGGTTAGTGATAATCTATCGTGAGTTTCAGATTTTACTTACCTTGAAGCTTCTTCTGTTTAGTAATAATAGTCAGTCTGTGTGGTTCCAATACTCAGGATGAAAGTTGAAAAGATAAAAGGACACTCTCACTACTTTCTATTGCATCTGTGCACCCAGGTTGCTACATCTTCTATAACTCACCTCATTATCATTTATCATAATATTGAAAGATGGGCAAGTTTTAACTTTTCAATAATGCAGGCTGGAACATACATCAAAGAGTTTGTTCATGGAGATCTTGGTCGTACCACTCCCAGGTATAATAAAAGGAGCTCCCTTCAATATTTTAGATTTTAAACTATAGGCAAAAAAATGCAGTTAGTGTTTAGAAGAATGGAAACAAGTTTAAGCATATATATACCGGATCTGTGAAATAGCATATTAATAAAAGAGTGTTTATTTCGTTTTGGTTGCAGCATGGGATCAATTTTAGGATGCAGAGCGGAGATAATACAACTAGATGTGACTGATGTGAAAATGGGCGACTCATGAATTGCCAAGTAAAAGCCCGATGCTCTTCCTTGCTTAATTTGTATCCCTTCCTTTATTAGATTTGTTATTTTTTTTCTTAAAATATCGATTGGTGATATATACTGTATTAATTATTTCAAAAGTTATTAACCAAATAACAATGAATTTGCCATGTGGTTTGCATTTCTGGATTGGCCGCCAACATCTTCTAAGAAGATGATGACACGAGGATCATAGGAAAGTTTGAGAAAACCAAAACTATGTTCTTGTTTTTTTTCTTAATTTCTCTGTTCCATTTTTTCTTCTTCTTAATTTCCACATTCTTACATTATTTACATATACCCTTAATTTGCTATAGCAAGTACAATGGAAGAAACAGAGTTTCATTATTTTATTGATTATTCAACTTTTGCGCTAGCTTTTTGCTTATTAAGGAGAACACTTAAGATTTCGACAAAAAAAAAAAAAAAGGAGAACACTTAAGAAATATTTGTAATATGCTAAAAATATACAAAAGTGGTTTCTAGTGGCACACCAGTTTAAGACAAGTCCAACTACTCTTTGGTCTTTAGTGCTTATTGAGTAAGGAGAAGTCATTTTGTATGTGGAACCATTTATAAAAAGTACATTTACTATTGGAGTAAAATTGAAATGAAGACGTTAAAGAAAACACGTTGGAGATGATGAGGTGGCAGCTAGGGCAATTTTTATTGGTTGTGTGATTTATTTTCTATGTTAAGAGTTTTTAAATCGATTTTAGTCATGATTTATGTGTTTTATTAGTGATGATAAAACATCTCTCTCTTTCACTTCACGTCTGCGATTTATTTTACAGATATATGTAAAACGAAAACAATTTTGTTGGTTGTGTGATTTATTTTATAGAAGCAACTAGTCGTTTACTAGAGGAATGATTGATTCTATTATTATATGAAATTATTCATAATGCATTGGAACAGGGATCTCTAGAAAATGCACCAAATATGTTTGATGAAAGGCCTGAGAGAAGAAACTTATATCCACCTCCCCCGCCATTGTTGTAGTAGATGACACTTTATTTTAATGTCAAAAGTCTGTGTGGATATGATCAGATTTTGAAGCATTTGTGAATGTTTCTTTGACTGATTCAAGGAATCAGATAGTGAGAGCAGAGCAAGCTGTCTTCGTGATCATTGAACTGACTACTTGGCCAGAGCAGTGATACGACACAAACATATGATTAGTTTTGAGGTTTGATCACTGAATTTGGATACTCGAGCAATCTACAGTTATGGAACTTGTCATTCTTTCCGCTTTGAATATTATCTATATTTCCATTTTCATTCTCAGTTTTTGGTTGATTTGCCTTTTAACACCAGTTTCTACATGAGTTATATCTCCATTACATTCAAGTTCCATATATGTTTTTTATACTGATGTAGCAGTAAACTGATATCAATAATGTTTTGAGAAGTTGTATCAATAATGTTTTGAGTTTGTTGATTCTTGAAGTTGAAGTTTCTTGAGTTAGGTTGGACTATTTTTTCTCTGTCATTCAGCTATTGTAATGTATAATCATTGACTAAGAGCTTCTTAGAACTTATTTTAGAATTGAATTACATAAACCATGATGTTGAAATTAGAAAAGCAAATTGGAAACAAACATTCCTATAGATCAGGACATGACCCAAAGTAAGTAAAGCATGAGATAGTTTACTTGGTTGTATCAATGAGTCTCATAACCGCACTTAGATAGCGGATGCGTTGGTCATCCGAAGCTACAATAACCTTTGTCTGCTCATCCTCCTCAACGGGGAACAAGGATGGCGTAAACTTATAGAAGTCTCTGTCATAATGGCTTGGACACCATGTTGACCCCAAAACTCTCCAACTGTTAGCTTCCATGTCATACACATGAACCAAACCTTTGAAATCATTTTCCTTCATCATAAACTCCATGTCGTGCAAACGAACCTCGCCTTTTGATCTATCCTTCATCTCCCTCACCACAAGATGCTTGCCATCGTATGCAACCATGTTCCAGCGTACAAAAATATTATCTTCCATAGATACGTTCTTGATCTGCGTGGCAAGGATCCACTTGGAATTCTTGCGTAGTGCGTAAATTGAGATTGTTTCTTTCGTCCCCAATAATAAGGTCAAACGATTGATATTATCGTCTGCCGCGAATAGTAACTTCATATCCGATTCCCGATAGAATATGGAAGGAATGAATTGTGCTTGCTCTGTCTCGGGATTGAAAGCTATGATGCTCCCGTCGTTTCTCAACCAGTAAAGAGTGCCGTCCAAGTAAAGAGGTTTCATCCGTGTCGTGAGATCACTTTTTGAACTAGCGTTGATGGTTGTTTCCGATAATCTCCAACAATATCCGTCGTTGATCTCGAATCCATATACTGTTTCCATCTCAAGAATGCATACGATTTTAAAACTTTTGGTGGTACGGTTTACAGCGAAACCAACGCACATTGCTCTCTCAGTACGAGCATTGTTACCTTGTGGATATTCATGTTCATTAGGGAAATAATAACTACCATCACCACCAACTATCCAAGGCAGAAGGCTTGAACCAGAATGATCCAAAAGTCGAAACGTATTTGTGAAGGGATTTGCAACGAAGAGACCATTGATGTATATTAGGAGAAGGCCGGAGCATGAGCCAAAAATATAACATCGGTTACTAAAATTCAAATTTGCTGTTTTTTCCAATGAAGAAACCAAACGATGGCAGCAGACGGAAGTGGCACCATAGCTGCCAAGGTTAAACAAACTAGGTCTGAACAAAGATAAGTATCCGATTTGAAAATCCGAGTCTTCAGATATATAAGATTGGAAGTATTTATTTGTGCATCGCATAATTGCCAGAGATTTGGGTTCCAATCTGAAGAGGATATCGTCGAGAAGATACAAAGGTAAGTCATTCATGATCATAGTGAAAATGAAAGTTGATGCGATTATTTTCGTTTATTTCAGTGATTTACTTACAAACTTGATATATAGACAACAAACTTTATGCATGAAAAGAAATAACAATCAATTCAAGGAAAATCTTATCATTATAATTATCTAGATATAAAATTTATTACATTTTGATGTATTTGGAAATGAATTATAATAACTTCAATTGTCTTTGATGAAATTATTAAATTCAAAGTATTATATACATATTTATAGTGTTTTACATTACAAATAATATAATTAGTTATTAATTTGAAATATGTTAGAAACTGTAATATCCAAAGATAATAAATATTTTTAATCTGAGAAGTTATAAATTTAATAACAATGGATTCAAACTGAAGGTGAAATTCTATCCAATCCATCTATATATCAAAAAAAAAAAAAAAAAAGACTATTTGGGGTCTAAGAAAATGCCCAACTCAATCTATTAGTCATTAATTTGAAAATATGTTAAGAAAATTTAATATCCAATGATAATAAGCATGGCCCAAGTCTCTTTACAATTGTCCCATAAAATAAAAAAAAATTCAAGTAACTTTTGACGGGAAATGGGCCCAAGCTATGAGGCTCCCATCGTTTGAATTCAACTTTAGTTCTCTTTGATGAAATTGGATTAACTGTGTGTTGTCTCGTAAGCTTTTGTATTCAAGTTTTTTTTTTTTTGTTTTTTTTTTTATTTTTATTTTATTTTAACTTACCATATATTAGAACTGCTTTATTTGAATACAATACTTTTGTATTCAAGTTTTTATTAAGAGTCACTAAATTCATAAGAAAAGACAAATTTAGTGGCACGTGTGGTAGATCCGCATATCCTCTGAAGTCTGCTTTGTTTGAATACTTTCCGTACTTCTTGTATAGAAAAAATCGAATGAATGTATAAATGCATATAGAACAATGTTGTACATGGCATCCATTACACATCAAGAATGGGACAAAATTTTTGTAAAAAGTTAGTACAACTAATATTCTGACAAACAAATTCTTAGATCTAACCATTACAACTGTTCCGATTGTAATAAATTTATTTGATTTTTAGCATCTCGATTTCAATGAATAGATTTTCTGAAATACTATACAAAAACGATGATTCCCAAAAAAAAAAAGAATCCAATATTACAGACATCAGTAGAACATTAAGTCGAAAATCGGAATGTTTATGTTGGGCTTGAAGCCCATACAATACCTTATTGGAACCCATTTTCCGGAAAACCATGTAAGCTTGACTGATCCCGCAACAAAGCTTGATTTGATAGTCCCACAAATGAGTTATGTACATTGTCGAGTCCATAACATTTTTTTTTTTGTAGTCGATAATATTTTCTAAAACCATATTTTCATTATTTGTTTGAAATCAACTCATAACTAGAATGAAAACTAAGGCATGAATGAATATCTCATGTACAGATTAACATTGTGGCCTCTAATTTTAATACTTGTTTTTCTTCAATATATTTTAAGAATGTTGTAAAGAAAATATTTGAGCTTCTAAACACATACAAATCCAAACATATTTATTCGTAGCTAAAATTGAGTACTTTTTCAGTCGGGAGAATTTTGAACTTTAGTTAATACTAGTATTAAAAACTTTAGAAAACCGGATTTCATCCCAAGTAAAACGTCTAGAGTGGTGAAGTATTATGTAGAGCAAACTTTACAAGACTTTGAAAATCATCGAAGTACCAAAATCTTTTATATGAACCCTATAATTCATGAATATTTCTCAAATTGTTCCACTTTTGCTCTATAGTTTTTTTCTGATTGAGTAAGGAGGACTCTTGTCTATGTGGAACCATTCAGAATTATTTTTACTATACTAAGAAAATACAAGAAGTGGTTTACTAGTAGCACACAAGTTTAAAACTCAAATCCAACTACTCTTTGGTCTTAATTAGCTTTGGTAGTCCGATTCTAGTGGCTCTAGTGCTGATTGAGTATGGAGCATATGTGGGACCATTAACAAAAGATACTTTTACTAATCGGAGTAAAATTGAAATGAAGACGTTAAGCAAAACACGATGGAGATGATGAGGCGGCAGCTAGGGCCATTTTTATTGGTTGTGTGATTTATTTTATATGTGAAGAGAGTTTTTAAATCGGTTTTAGTCATGCTCGATTTATGTGTGTTTTATTAATGATGCTCGATTTATTTGGCGCTATGTGATGTAGTTTACTTTTAAAGATATATGTAAAACGAAAACAATTTTGTTGGTTGTGTGATTTATTTTATAGAAGCAACTTACTAGAGGAATGATTGATTCTATTATTATATGAAATTATTCATAATGCATTGGAACATGGATCTTTAGAAAATGCACCAACTGTGTTTGATGAAACGCCTGAGAGAAGAAACTTATATCCACCTCCCGCGCCATTGTTGTAGTAGATGACACTTTATTTTAATGTCAAAGTCTGTGTGGATATGATCGGATTTTGAAGCATTTGTGAATGTTTCTTTGACTGATTCAAGGAATCAGGTAGTGAGAGCAGAGCAAGTGAGTGAGATGATTCAAGAAGCACCAATTGCTGTCATATGGGAAATGGAACCATCAAACGGTCTACATGAGCTATATCTCCATTACATTCAAGTTCCATATATGTTTTTAATACTGATGTAATACATTGATATCAATGTTTTGAGAAGTTGTATTATAAACCCTAAGTTTGTTGATTCTTGAAGTCGAAGTTTCTTGAGTTAAGTTGGACTATTTTTTCTCTGTCATTCAGCTATTGTAATGTATAATCATTGACTAAGAGCTTCTTAGAACTTATTTTAGAATTGAATTACATAAAGCATGATGTTGAAATTAGAAAAGCAAATTGGAAACAAACATTCCTATAGATCAGGACATGACCCAAAAAAAGTAAAGCATGAGATAGTTTACTTGGTTGTATCAATGAGTCTCATAACCGCACTTAGATAGCGGATGCGTTGGTCATCCGAAGCTACAATAACCTTTGTCTGCTCATCCTCCTCAACGGGGAACAAGGATGGCATAAACTTATAGAAGTCTCTGTCATAATGGCTTGGACACCATGTTGACCCCAAAACTCTCCAACTGTTAGCTTCCATGTCATACACATGAACCAAACCTTTGAAATCATTTTCCTTCATCATAAACTCCATGTCGTGCAAACGAACCACACCTTTTGATCTATCCTTCATCTCCCTCACCACAAGATGCTTGCCATCGTATGCAACCATGTTCCAGCGCACAAAAATATTATCTTCCATAGATACGTTCTTGATCTGCCTAGCAAGGATCCACTTGGAATTCTTGCGTAGTGCGTAAACTGAGATTGTATCTTTCGTCCCCAATAATAAGGTCAAACGATTGATATTATCGTCCGCCGCGAATAATAACTTCATATCTGATTCCCGATGGAATATGGAAGGAATCACTCGTGCTTGCTCTGTCTCGGGATTGAAAGCTATGATGCTCCCGTCGTTTCTCAACCAGTGAAGAGTGCCGTCCAAGTAAACAGGTTTCATCCGCGTCGTGAGATCACTTTTTGAACTAGCGTTGATGGTTGTTTCTGATAATCTCCAACAATATCCGTCGTTGATCTCGAATCCATACACGGTTTCCATCTCAAGGATACATACAATTTTAAAAATTTTGGTGGTATGGTTTACAGCGAAACCAACGCACATTGCTCTCTCCGTACGAGCATTGTTACCTTGTGGATATTTATGTTCATTAGGGAAATAATAACGACCATCACCACCAACTATCCAAGGCAGAAGGCTTGAACCAGAATGATCCAAAAGTCGAAACGTCTTTGTGAAGGGATTTGCAACGAAGAGACCATTGATGTATATTAGGAGAAGGCCGGAGCATGAGCCAAAAATGTAACATCGGTTACGAAAATTCAATTTTGCTGTTTCTTCCAATGATATAAAATCGCACGAAGAAACCAAACGATGGCAGCAGACGGAAGTGTCACCATAGCTGCAAAGGTTAAACAAACTAGGTCTGACCACGGAAAAGTCCGAGTCGTGAGATATGTAAGATTGGAAATATTTATTTGTGCATCGCATAATTGCCAGAGATTTGGGTTCCAATCTGAAGAGGATATCGTCGAGAAGATACAAAGGTAAGTCATTCAGGATCATAGTGAAAATGAAAGTTGATGCGATTATTTTCGTTTATTTCTGTGATTTACTGACCAATTTGATATCTTATATAGACATCAAATTTTATGCATGAAAAGAAATAACAATCAATTCAAGGAAAATCTTATCATTATAATTATGTAGATATAAAATTTATTACATTTTAATGTATTTGGAAATAAATTATAATAATTTCAATTGTATTTGATAAAAAATTTAAATTCAAAGTATTATATACATATTTATAGTGTTATACATTACAAATAATATAATTAGTTATTAATTTGAAATATGTTAGAAACTGTAATATCCAAAGATAATAAATATTTTTAATCTAAAAAGTTATAAATTTAATAACAATGGATTCAAACTGAAGGTGAAAATCCAATCCATATATATTTTTATCAACAAATAAAAGACTATTTGGGGTCTAAGAAAATGCACAACTCAATCTATTAGTCATTAATTTGAAAATATGTTAGAAAATATCCAATGATAATAAGCATGGGCCCAAGTCTCTTTACAATTGTCGCATAAAATCAAAAAAATTTCAAGTAACTTTTGACGGGAAATGGGTTTGATGGATGTGCATAGGCCTGGGCAAATAAACCGAACCAAATGTACCGAACCGAAACCAGAGCAAAAAAAAACCGAACCGAACCGAACCGAAAACTTGAAAATAACCGAATGGATACTAAATTCTATAACCGAAATAACCGTAACCGAATCAGTACCGAACCGAAATATTTCGGGTAACCGAAATACAATTATATTTTCAAAATAATTAGTTATTTATAGACCAATTAATCAAAAATACTTGAAAAATATATAAAAATAGTATAAATACTCGAAAATAACCGAAATATATCCAAAAATAACCGAAATATCCGAAAATATTCTAAGCAAAATAACCGAATGGATACTAAATTTTAAAACCGAAAGAACCGGAACCGAACCGAAACCGAACCGAAATTTCAAAATATCCGAATGGATACTAAATTTTGAAACCGAAAGAACCGAAACCGAATGGACCCAACCGATAACCGAACGGTTAACCGAAAGCCCAGGCCTAGATGTGCATGATACTAAAAGAAACATGCCTAGTCTCCAATGATAAGAAGCATGGGCCCAAGCTACGAGGCTCCCATCGTTTGAACTCAATTTTAGTTCTCTTTGATGAAATTGGATTAAATTCAAAGATACTTTTACTCAAAAACATTTTCTTCATAAAGACGACTGTATAGGCAGAACAGAAGTATAATTATACTATAGTAGCTCTCTCTGAAACATAACAAGAAAGATAAGTTAATCTCTTCGTGTAAGTTCTAGTCGATCCATAAAGCATCCACCATCTTTGCCATGAACGAATATCGATCAGCCGCTTCGTCAATCTGTTGCAACTCGCAAACATTTATATTGTACAAAATCATTAAACAAAAAAAGTCTTATGTTTAGATAGTTACCATCTTTTGCGTTGGACGTCCTGCTCCATGTCCAGCTTTTACTTCTATCCGAGCAATTATAGGGTTAGTCTGTGGACTATTCTCTAAACTCAAACCTAATTCATATTGCATTGTCTGCGAAAGCAAAATCGGGTTTCCAATGGAAGATGAAGAAGGAGAGGAAGATACAAAAAGCAAACAAGAGGTTGAGAGACAAACCGCAAGTAACTTGTAAGTATGAAGTGGGACGACTCTATCGTCGTGATCAGCAGTTAACAACATGGTTGATGGGTACTGAACAAACCGATCTGTCTTCTGTTCCCATGGCCTCTTCACATTATGCAGAGGCGAATACCTTATTTATTACAGATTAAAACCATCAGATATCTACCAAAAGATAGAAGCTTTATGGTGACCTTAAATAAAAGACTTACTTTATCAGCCAATGAAACTCCTCTTCCTTGTCAGAACAACCAAATTCAGAAGTCCAAGCATGTCCTATGGTAAACTTGTGAAACCGGAGCATGTCCATGACCCCGACATGAGCCAGAGCACACCCAAAGAGATCCGGTCTCTGCATGTAAAAGGTAGAAAAATAAATTATGTAACTATGTGATTGCTATTTTCATGAGCTAAATATTTCTTACTCTTTTTACCTGATTAATGCAAGCCCCTACTAGAATACCACCGTTACTACCACCTTCGATACAAAGTTTTCTCGGTTTTGTATAACCAGCAGAAACCAGATACTCAGCCCCGGAAATGAAATCATCGAAGCAATTCTGCTTATTGGCAAGAGCGCCAGATTTATGCCATTCCTCACCATACTCACCACCACCACGGATGTTTGCAAAACAGAACACGGTACCAAGATGCCTACTAAGCACAATACGGGTCGCGCTGAAAAACGGCGTCATGCTTACGCTAAACCCTCCATATGCATAGAGCAAACATGGGTGTGATCCATCTAGCTTTATATCTTTTCTAGCCACTATAAACATTGGTATCTCTGTTCCGTCCTTACTCGGATAAAAGACCTATAAAACATAGTCATGAAAATATGAACTCAAAATTAATGTTTGTATTGCAGATTCAATACTTTGTAATTGAGAAAGCATATACATACCTGAGTGACTTGAAATGCTGTTCTATCGAATTCAGGTACACCGATTTCACGAAATACCGTAACTTCTGGAGCTTCATGGGATAAGTCACATTTGTAAATCACGCCAGGTGTAAGGAAACTTGTAAACCTAAAGAAAAATGTGGTGTCTTTACGCCGAGCAAAAACACCACATACCGAGCCAATATCTACAGGTAATCTATGAAGCAAGGAACCAGATTTCAAGTCTCTAATCTGCAGGATGTGTTTTACATCACTCATGTAGCTAACAACCAGTTGATCTCCATTAACTGCAGAAGCTGTTGAGAGAACATCCTTTTCATGTTCAGCGATAACATCAGTCCAACTGCTCGGATCCTTCAGATCAACCCGAACTAATTTGTACTTTGGGGCATCTTTGTTGGTTAGGAAAGTAAACAATGTCGCATCGTTTGCGATAGCAATGTATTGTGCGTCAAATGTGTCGATAAGCTTAACAAATGGAAGTAGAGCGTCGCTTCCTCTAAAACCTTCTAGACCTTTAGGAAGTGATGAGAGATCACAATGATAAACCTTGTTTACAGGGTCACAACCTTCTTCAATTGACATGATTAAGTACTGCATTGGAATTAAAAAAAAAGAACATAATGGTTGGATCAAAACTCAAACCCAAAACTTAGACTTTATGCATCATAAGACTAAATTTAGGTGAAAGTGAAAGTGAAACCATCACCAAGAGAGATGAGAAAAGAGCTTGCTTTTACCTTCCCATCATCAGTGACTTTAGATCCAAACATATGTTTGGGATTATCTTGGTCTCTCCAACACAAAACATCTTCGGATTGATCCATCCCAAGAAAATGGTAGTATAACTCATGGTAAAGGTTAGAGTTAGTCTCTGTACCAGCATCTATCTTCTCTCCCTCTCTACAGAAACAAAACCACAATCAGAAACAGTAGTAAAAACTCAAACTTTCGAATAAAATTCCTCAGCTTTACACCAAAAAGTTTATTAGTTAAACCAAAGACTCACTGTGGAGCTGGGTAGCGACTGTAGAAAAAACCTTTCCCGTCATGTGTCCATGTAATTCCACTAAACTTAACCTGATTTCAGAACAAGATTCATGTCAATGTCAATGTCAATGATGAAACTTCTAAGTAATGAGTAATTCAACTTGAAGAAGCCTTACCCAAGATAAAGAATCAGGCTCCACTTTCTTATCTTCAATCTTCATCACTTTAATTGTAACCCAATCACTACCACTCGAGCTAAGCCCATAAGCCAAATACTTAGCATCCTCACAGATAGATAAAGTGTTTAAAGAAACTGTTCCATCATCACTAAGAGTATTAGGATCAAGCAAGATCTCTGCTTCAGACTCCAAATCATTCTGACAAAAAAAAAAAAAATTCAATTCCGAAACCCACTTAACGAAATTGAAGATTAAGAACAGTTAAGAAGATTATACTCTGCTTCAAATTACCTGAACATGAAGCACACTCTGAGCTTGAAGACCTGAGTTATGGAAGTAAAAGTAGCTGTTCCCTCGCTTGAAGGGCGTATCGAAACGAGGATAATCAATAAACTCTGTGAATTTGTCATGAAGCTTTTCTTTCGTTTCGCAAGTTTTGAGCACTGATTCTGACAATTTCACTTGCTTCTCTACAAATTCTTTCACTTCTTCAGCGTCAGGATCTTCCAACCTACCCGAGAGAATCGAATCAATTTTGTTAACCGAATCCTAACCAAACCAAATTTACGATTGTACCAAACCGGGAATTTAATGAGCAAACAAACAAAATTTGGTCCAGAAATTAGTATACTGGACCAGTAAGATCAATAATGGGCCAAAAAAATCGATAGAGCTGGTCCAAAAAAAAGCTCGTTACGCGATTGGTCATGATCTAAAAATATCATTCATTACGATAAACAGACAGCAGAAAATTCAAAAGCTGTCCGGTAATAAAAAATCTCCGTCAACTCAACTCAACAACATGTCAACAACGTTATCATAATTAAAAAAACAAGAGTAGCTAGTCACAGCTGAAAACGCAAACACTTTTTACCAGCGGTAAGGATCGGAGACGTTAACGCCGTGATAAGCTTCAACGACGGACTCATCACGCCTCGCCGTTGGATACTGCAACCGCTCTTCAAACGCCGAGAGAGATCCCATTCTATCTAAACTTTCCGACAAAAATAAGCTAAAGACTTAATGAAGTAGTTGGCGTTAAGTTTCGTCGTGGAGTCGAAGGGAAAAAATAAGAACCCGTGTCGATAGTGTATTTATATATAGGACTTAAAAGAAAAAAAAAAAAAAAAAGGAAACGTGAAGAAATGGAAAGAGCGCGCGTGACAGATGCATTGAGTCTCTCGTTATGTCGAAATTGTTTCGTGAATCTGTCGACATTTTTTTGTTATGTTGCCATTTTTAATCAATTTTGTTATTTACAGTAACCTTCTTTTTTTTGGACCATTTTTGTTTTTCAAACTA